AATAACATGTGGCTGTATTAAGTTGAACGAGAGCAATGTCTCAAAAGTATTCAGATAAATCTACAATAAAATTTATTAATATTAATGTTAAGCTACAGGGAGTAAAGCCTGCTATGCCTTGCACTGATATTTAATGAAGATGGAAATCTCTGAAATACATTTTAAAACATGAAATGCAAAGAAGAGCCCAAACGAACGTGTTAAATATTATCTGTTGAAACTTGGCACTGAGGCACAGCCAATTGAGGTTAACATAACGCCAATAAGATCAATCTTAATAATATCAATTATTTGGCGATGCTTCTGTGTTGGCAGTGGTGCAAAATTAACCAAAAAACTCAACACATTCGTAAATAACACCACCGTAAAAGAGAAATTACTGTATAATAGGTGACGTTTCAGACAATGGATCTTCTTTATAGCACATAAAATCATAAACTGTAATGATACCATCATTAAAGAGCTCAAATTACCAAGTAAGATATTTTTGGCAAAATGAGTTCAAAGGTCAGACAGGGTTGAAATCAACAGCATTGCGAGGCTCACGATAATAACATGGGAGTCTAGTTGACCTCCTTCAATTAAACTATTTTAGGTGCACAGCAAAATGGCACGGTTACACTGACTGACAATGAAAATATATTATCGAGGACAACCGGAGATGCATAGATAGGGAGGCAGAGAAAGATAATGTTCTTCTTCAAAATGATGATCTGTAAAATGTATACATCGTTGCTCCTGGGGGGCGCGTTGGTTGTTGAGTTACAGGGAAAGCAGGGGGCTCAAGGGAAAAAAGCATAATCAAAATTTAGTGACGACGTCATGCTTAGATATTGAACACTTCTCCGATGACAGTGTGTGGGAATGAATTGCATTTTTTTTTATTAATATAGAGGATTTCTTTTCTGTCAAAGAGCTCAATATAGCAATTTGGAAAATACGTGTGTGTGTGTGTGTACACATTAGACTGTATTCGTATTCGGTATTTGTCATTTTGACAGTGAAGGTTTGTTGGTTCAAATCCCAGTTGGAGGTTGACTGTTAATCATTCCAATAAGGATGTTTAAAATATGTACCACTTCGTGAGAAGTATCAATCTTTTGAGGGAACCCCTGCTTTAAAAATGCGGAATGTACACTCCTAGCCCAGTACCACGGTGGAAATGAATGCTACCTCATTGATTGTTTGAGCAGGGAGTATTTTTTTCCCAACACAGAAATTTATATTCCAAAAATGGTGCTTCACACCCATTAAAATAGAAGCAAACACCTCTACCCCGTATTGGTGATGGATTCGTGGTACATTGGGTAGCGAACCGTGCTATGAACCTGGCAACCCGAGGTCAATTCCTGGGCACAATTTATCAGCTGTCAATTACATTCCTGACTTCAACTATTGATATGAACCGAATACAATTAATTTAATAATGAATGATGAAAAACTCTGCACGTGACATACGATGACAGAGGGGGAAAAAAAATCCCACCACATTTTGTGATATCTTATAGATAATCGAATGGTTTATTATTGTGATGGATCACATCTTACGTGCTCATGCACGTGTGTCATGGTAGGAAGATCGACTGAATTGGAGATCAACATTTTCAATGTGGCCGAGAAAACTATAATCTTAGATTAAAGTTAACAAAAGAAAAGATTTCCAATAGGAGGCAATTATCATTAAACAAATCTGACAAAGGCAAAAACTGATTTAAATCAACAAAATTACCAATCTTGACTTAAAGCTTTCGTGACTGCAGGAATTAATATTCTTATTTTTATTATTTATTTTTTCCATCTACGTGGCTTTACCGAAAGACCCAAAGAATATTAATTACCAATGTAACGCTGCGACTGTCGATTTAAAACTGGTTGTTAAATGAAGACATCCCAGTTTTATCACGACTCTTGTGTACAGCGCCATCTCCAATGATAAGCCGGTCAATCTCCCTACTTGTTATATGATCGGCTCATGAAACACGAGCCGATCATTAAACAAATGTTGTAGTGCTTGGACGTGTGCATGTATATTACGTCCAATCCAGCCACTTACATCTTGTTTTGTCATCACGGTATATATTTTTAAAACATTATTTCCTGTGCAGGCACTTAAATCAAAGTATCTATACATACTCTTTGGTTCTTTCGGTAAAGTTACGTTGGTAGAAAATATTTATTTTATTTTATTTATCTATACATGTGTACTTTGGGAAGCTGATGGGACGAAACAGGAAAACAAATGACAGGAGAGGAACACAAATTGTCAATGTCACGGGATAGGACAGAATAAAAAAAATAATTTCAGCGTGACGAATGGCTGATATTCTTAGGTTTTTTCGGTAAAGTCACGTAGGTAAAAAATTAAAATTAATAAAAGTAAAATAAAAATAAAATAAAAATCACGACGTTTCGGAGGCAACACAAGCTTCCGTCTTCAGGTGGAACCGTCACAGCACGATAGCCGTATCAAGTGTTGCCTCCGAAACGTTGTGATTTTTATTTTATTTTACTAATTTTAATTTTTTACCTACGTGACTTTACCGAAAACCCTAAGAATATGAATCCTTGCAGTCACGAAAGCTTCAAATCCAGCGTGACGGATGGCTGAGTTGCCCGAAGAGGGCAGCAGCTTGTCAGGGTGCCCTCTACTGGTCGGTGCAGTTATTGCCAGTAGGTGCCAGGCAGTCACTCAGCCTGATATCGAGTGGGAGATAGCGCGCCAATACCTGAATGGCACTTTAAGCAGAGGGCACTTTTGGTTCACCCCTTCGCAACAAAAATATTCTTCGAGTCGTACAGCAAGGAGGAGCATGAGTAAGATGATTATGTGATGTACGGGATGGAGTTATGTTGAGACTCGCATTAATCGTTCTCATAAACACAAGCGCCTTATGGTTAAGAGGTGCCTCAAGCATGGCTGCAGGACTTTCACAACTGATAAAGAAATTGACCTTTGCAGGTCTTCCAGTGATGCCATACTCCCATACGCTGCTCCTCCGGGCTCTTGACCGTACCTTTCTAAATCAAATGTTTACAATTGTCATTCTTTTCGAGTGTGCTTTAACATTTTAAAATGCTACCGTTTTATGTTCTACTTGTGTATTTTTCTATCGGCTCCATTGTCTTCTCGGCTGATGCAACTCCCAGTGGCACATGGTGAGAGCCCTAATCTTTCATCTTGTTTTCACCCGGCCAACCGAGGCAGACTGAACCCCGGTGAAGCAAGGGAGTGCTGGCCTGAGTGTCTGCATCGCCACGCTCTTCTGAGCCTCCAATTTATACTGGTAGGAACCTCCTGGTTACACCAGCCCACAGGGGATTATTGTGTCCGTCCGCCCGTCTGGCAGGGAGGGGCTGGGTGGGGAGAGGGGCTGGGTGGGGAGGGGAGGGGTTGGGAGGGTGGGGCTGGGTGGGGGGTCAGAGGGGTGGGGTGGGGAGGGGCTGGTTACCCCGTGGTGCCCTTAAAAAACTCAATTTGAGTACTCAAATTGTAAATGTTGTGGCTTCAACACACCGGTGGGCTAAAGCAGTGAACTATTTGTCTTTGTCAACGTGACACATTTTTACTGATTGGCCGTGTCGGGTGGTGGAGGGTTACGACACATTTATAAATAAACGCGATCTAAACCCAAAAACGTTGATTATGAATAACATTGGTCGCGAAAGCCTACGTGTTAAACAAAACTCAACGTTTAACCTACTCACGCCGGCTTATGCCCGCCCTCACAGTCGGCCATATTTGCGGAATACACCACGCCGCCGTTGACCCTGGCCATTGACCGAGCAACCCAACGTTCCTACCAGCTCCCTCCGCAGGAGGGAATGTGTTAGAATAGCGTGGTAAGGGGCCGTCCATAAATGACGTCATGCGATTTTGGACGATTTTTTACCCCCCCCCCCCTCGTCACACGGCGTCACAAAAAGTCAGACCCCCCCTCAAATATGACGTCACAAAACTCTGCCCCCCCCCCCCCCCAAAAATAAAACATGCTTCAAATCGCTTTAAACTATTGTCATTGTAGTGCGTATTTAATGTGGCGCTGCACTCTGATGTTGTAGGAGAAAACATTTATTTAAAAGTCTATTTTATTAAGGAGAACGTGTTGTCTATATTTATTTAAAGTTGCGCATTTTGATGCGACATCACATTTCTCAAACCCCTTCCCCCATCATCACACATCGTCACAAATGTCTGACCCCCCCCCCCTCTAGGTGCGTGACGTCATTTATGGACGGCCCCACGTCGTACGTTGAACTTCTTTCGCGCCGTACGTAGCCAACCGTGCTAATCGTAAGTGCGGGGAGAGGACGACAAACCAATCACAAAAAGCAGTTCGGCTCCACCGTGAGTCTCCGTTCTCTGCAGCCACGCGGGATGCTGAATATGGCTATGGCTGCAGAGTTTGGTAGTAACTGTACATGTTGTTAACGTCGTTTATTGTGAAAATTCGGTCACAGTTCCTATGACCACTGTTTCATTGCTTTCATGGCTTTATTTTGGTGATTTTCGAAAAGTTTTTTGGTTTGGCCATGTTTGTTGTAGTACAGTTATACTGATGGCCTTGATCTAAGTTGTCTTGTGGTTGTTGTTGTTTGACTTGCATCCCACTGGGATTTTTGCACAGTGTTGGTGTACGGTGATTTTTCTGCAATATTTTGCTGTCTTTTCTTGGATTTTCTGTTTGCACATAGTCACTTTAAGATGTTTTCTTGTTCATGTTTTTGTTTTCTGTTTGTTGCGGTTGCACCCGATTCAAGAGCCGAATGGCTCACAGGGCTATACCTAATACATGAACTTGAACTTGATGGCGCAGAGCTCATGGTGGGGGCCTCGAAGGCTGCGTCGTGACTCGGTTAAATGACGTTGCAGGCCACTGTTGGGTGCACCAATGGGAAGCACAGCACACGACTGGGAAGCACAACACAATGGAGAGTAATAGGCAAGCTCCGAGGTTTAATAATATAACCGACCGCGTGGTCGCAGCAAGATCACGGCCAAAGATAACGCGACACGAGCGTCAGCGAGTTGTGGCTCTCGGCAAAGACGACGCTCTTCTGACTGACGCAAGGGAACTCTGATGGTGCGCCCAAAATTCGTTTTGGGGAAAAATCACACAGAAATTAGTTTTGGTCGAGCCTACATCATCGAAATGGTTTCGTGTTCCCAGTCCACACAAAAAATGTAAGGTTAATATCTCAAAGATAGATTTTTTTTTTAATAAGCCTTGGCAGAGCACACAGGGTTGATTTCCCTTTTTATCTTCCCTATGGGAGAGAGCGAGTGATGCTTGTGTTAATTGCAGGGTAGCGGATATGATTTAGACTGCTCCAAAGCGGTAAAGGATCCCCCTTGATGAAATGGATAAAGTAGCACTTGGTCGAGATCACCATATTTTAAAAGTGTTACCTACGGGAGGGGGTGCGGCGTGCTAATAAAAGTCTTATCTGTACGGTCAAGACACACCCAGCAAAGATACTGAACAGCCATTGTAAGCTCCTGCCATTAAAATCATTCGATTATGTTACCTTGTCTTTAAAACTGTAAAGCGAATGGACGTGGGTGCTGTTAAGATTGTTGAACCCATGATCTCAGCAGTGTCGACCAATTTACAAAAATTCTACACATTCAATAAACTGCCGTAACAGGTTCACTTTGTAGAAAGATATTGCATTTATTAAAGCTTTTTTCAGTTGTGTTAAATGGAGCCCCAACACATGTAATTTGTGTGAAGAAAGGTGAAATACAACTCTTGCTCAAACCACTTTAACTGAATGCCATGCATTTAAACTTGAAAAATTACATATTTTATCTGCGAACATTACTATACATTATATGGCGTTTTGTATATGTCGAGTATTTTTACATTTATACTCATTGTTTAGCAAAAAAGCATTTCATGCAGGGACATCCTGGAATGGCTGGAGGGTGAGATGAAGAAGAGTTTGCCTTTGTTAGTGTTAATCATTCACTTTGAAATCAGATCGAAATTTGCTAAATTATTTTACTGATAGTTAAGTCAAGGCTTCAAAAACGAATTCTCACAATTCAATTGAGCGGTTTGTTTACCAACTTCAATAAATACACAAACATATTTTTTATTGAAAAGACTGATGACAGTAATAAGGTAGATCAAGGTATGGAAGCGAGTTGAACAATTGTCACATTTTTTCCAAAGGCAGCTCATGTCCAGGGCTGCCAGATTTGTTCGTAAATAAGTGTCTAGACCTCTAGACAGAAGAACCTAAAAGCCCCACACAATTGCCAACATTGGAGCCCAAAAAAAGGGCACGCATTTTTAAAACGTTTATTTTTCTTTCCATTTCACAGCTTTAAAAGAAAAACGACGAATTTGTGCACGAAATTCAATCTGGCAGCCCTTCCCACGCCTGCACCATTTTCCGATCAGAACTTTAACTCGCATTGACAATGAAGCTGTAATGATCTGACATCAGCGGAAATTGAAAATAAAGACTCGCCACAGTGCGACTGGCCATGCAAACCAAACTATGGGCGATGCAGTAATCCACTATAGTATGTGCTCCTTCAGTGGAGGAATAGCAATGCGACACATACTCTCCTGAATCTCTCATGGGTAGCAGACCTCGACAGTGGCATTTTAGCTCATTAATATATTGTCACATGCAAGAATAGAATATCATCGGTAGTGTAAAGTGGTGAAATAAAAATCAGCCCAAATACTGGTAAAAATTGCAATCCAATTGGTAACACTCGTCTCCAACTGGTGGTCGGATACTTTTATTTGAACAAACTTTCCCAGAAACAAGACACACCTGGCAGCTGTGGGAGTGACTGTGCGAGATCATGTGTACATGGTACAGATGAGCCACTGGGGGGAGAAAAAACGTGAACATTAGGAGGGCTGGCATTTAAAACAGTGTTAAAATCGTGATCAGGAAAACCACTTTGTGGGCTGTCATCAGTCGAGAGTGACCTATGAGGAAGCCTTAGAAGTGTGGAATTCCTAACAAAGAGCTGCCAAACAGATACAAATATCACCCACGCTCATTTGAGAATGGAAAATATTTGGCTTTTCAATGCGCCAAATGCAAAACTTCTAAATATTCCCAACTTATGTTTGTCTTAACTTTGTGGCGTATAAAAAATGGGACTATACAATATATCCTTCAGTTCCAATGGAATGGCAATCGCCAATGCGTTAAGGTGTCATACCTGGGCAATCGTCATGGTGGCCACCCCAGCCTGTGCAGTCTGTAGAAACTGGAAAGCCTCTGCACACAACACAATTCAGTCTGTGACAAGCATTCACATCTGTATACTTTGCTGTCTAACATATAAAATAAGTGTGTTACTATATACTGGGTGTAATGGTTGGATACAATTAAAAATGTGACATTTGGTCTCAGGCAATGGGGCCCAATGGCCATAATATTGTGATAGGGCCACTCACATGAATTATAGTGGATATTGGCCTAGAGTTAGAATAGAACCATCGATACAAACTGGCTCAAGAGGGAGTGTGCCTAACATCAAGCTGTCCAGCCTCCTAAAATTAATAAACTTTTGTACACACATTGAGAGACTGGCTCCTTCCACAGCAATGTGGATTTTTCACCGTTGGCACAGGATCATCAACAGAGAAAATATGCCATTGGAACCTCATTTGCCAGTATATAATATAATTGTTTTTTTACCCTTTATCTGGCAACAAAACTGACACCTCTTTTTTTTACAAGGAGTCATGTTTGCATAGACCACAATACCTGTAGTCATAATGCAAACAAAAACATAACTCTGATAATGTATGCACTTGTCCAACACCATATGAGACTAGGCTCTAAGGAAAGCTGTCTCGGGTGTTGATCAATCAACTTCATACATTATCAGAGTTATGTTTTTGTTTGCATTATGACTGCAGGTATTGTGGTCTATGCAAACATGACTCCTTGTAAAAAAGGTGTCAGTTTTGTTGCCAGATAAAGGGTAAAAAAACAATTATCAGAGAAAATATGATTTACGCAAGGAGACGCTGCGATGTTGTTGATCTCGCATTTACATCCAGAGAAAGCTTCTAAATTACGTCACTATGGCTATGGCGGCATAGGATAAGGAACTCACTGCAGGTGGCCTCAATCTTCAGCAAGCAGCACACAAATTTGTCCCAGCAAAGCTGCATCGATTGGTCGGCGTATCGCAGCACCAGCACTTTGCGAAGTCGATTGTTCAACGGGAACCCTGCACGAAGAATCGTGAAGCGAAGGTTACGTAATGTGTCAGGTGAGCAGAAAGAGAGGGTATGCATGAGAACCACCGTGTTTTAAATTTGAGACACAGGCTACCTGCAGAATTGAGGGCAGTGTGCAGCTCGTAAGATGACATCATGCCTGATCCATCTTGGTCGAACCTCCTGAAAATATCCTATGTGGAAAGAACAATTGGACATTGAAAGGCATCACCGATGTGTTCTGCTACTCTGATGCTACATCAGGTACAAAAAGGCCATTTACTTGTTTGTGATGTTATTACAAAATATATTTCAGCACATTAGCTCATGTATATTGATGTTAATATACTACAAGAGGCCAGCTCCAGCATCTGTAAGTTACAATTAAAACCCTCTGATGGTCACACACCATTCATTAAACAATGATAGTATTTTTGTATAATTTAACAAAGGGAGGGTCAAATCTTCTCTCATTTACACTGATGTGATTATCAAATAATGTTTTTAATCATCCCTTTTCACCATGTGGTGGTTTGTTTAGTAAAATCTCTCAGTAGAAACTGATAACATAACATCTCCAAATGGCAGCAGTCTTCAATCCCTAAATGCTGTCAAAACGTCCAATTTCAACTTTTTTTGTGCTGTGAATAAAGGTCATTGTCAAACATATTAGCACGTTGTTTGTTTTTTGGGTTTAAAAGACAGTGATTATGAAAACAAAGTTGAGGTATTTTTAATTCATGCCTGTAAATCTATGTCAACACCACCCCTGTATCATCTTTAAATTGAGAATTCATTAAGTTATTGATGAGAACAGCGTTGGCAAGTCAATGCATGTGACCAGTTGTATTATCAATGCACGTGACCAGTTGTATTATCAATGCACGTGACCAGTTGTATTATCAATGCACGTGACCAGTTGTATTATCAATGCATGTGACCAGTTGTATTATCAATGCACGTGACCAGTTGTATTATAGCCCTAATCGTGGCCTCGTGTTCAACCTTCCAGGTCTTGATCTTGGCCCACAGAACCTGGAGCTCTTCAAAGCCCAACCGTCCTGACAAATGTGTCTGGTGGACACAGAGGGTTAAGGTTATATTTGTGGATATCCAGCAGGCATGAAATACTGTAAATGTCTGGACACGGTGGATGGCTGATTATTGATAAATTCTTAATTTGATGGAATCCATGAGCATTTCACGTAGTGCAACAGTTAAGTTGGTGAAAGCAAGTCTCTGCAGGGTTGTGTGATATGTATGCATGTGTGGCTGTATGTGTGTGCACGGTGAAGATTGGTGGTGTAGTGGTTAGTGTATTGGACTACCATAACAGATACCTGCTTGAACTGCTTGTCATGCACATCAGCAATAATTGTAATCTGGGCCTCTCATAAAGGCATATCTAGAACAGGATGCCACTATCAGCACTGGGGGAGAGATTGTGTGTGTGAGCATGTTGCTGGGAAAATCTCCCCTCTTGTGCTGTCTGTTTTCATAGGTGTTCACGAACAGAACAAGCTTTTACAGTGCATAATGTGAAAAGGGGGATATTTGAATCGTGTGTGTGTGTGTGTACATGTGTGAGATCCAGTCACAGTCCCTTCCTACAGACGAGGCTATATTGGCTGGGTTATGTGGCTCCCATGCCTAGTCCAACAACAACAACAGAGGGCGGAGGAGCAACGCTCACGAGTGGAGCACCGGCCGACTAAAACGGAGCAAGTTGTCACAGTGGGGGGCATAAATGGTGCCTTTGCTAGCCATTTCAGTCAGTCAATTCATAAGACCTGGGTCTGTCCCATGACCTGCCAGCGAAACTTCAACACTTCACATGGCCTCAAGGTGCACCTAGCCTGGCACAAACGCCATAGTGACATCACCACCGCTTAATGGTGCATTGCGACTATTGTTGCTGTGTGTGAGAGGCTATGGGGGGGGGGGGGGGTCGTGGATACATCCAGCAATGCGACCATGCTGCGACATGTCTCTATGCTGAAACTGTCTGTCTGCAATGCCTTGCCTGCAAACACACACACACAAAAGAACTCGTCACACTTACAATGTAAATAAGCCACCACTTTTATATTTCACGTGATGCACGATGAATGTGTATCGCCATCATCACTTAATGTTTATACCGTGCCTTCCTTGCAGTACGTCTCAAGGTGCCGAGGCAAGGGGGGTGGTGGCTGTCCCAGTGCAGCACCAGGTGAAGGGAGCACCAGCTAGCAAGTGGGACATTATTCTGCCAGTAGGTGGTGATAATACTATGTGGCTTCCCAAGAAGTAATTTGCGAGTAGTTTTGTCAAATTTGGACCATGATGCCAGCAGCTGTAGCCGAGATGACCTACTTTTTTAAATCCTTTATATTAAGTTCACTTGCTTGCTTGCGCGCTTGCTTGCTTGCGCGCTTACGACCGTGCAAATCTTTCGGTCGTTTTTTAACCCACTTCCTGTGATCCAATCGAGCTGACATTTTCCACACAGACTCGTTGTGCGTGACAATACATTTTCGTGAAAATTTTTTTCCAAAATGTTACACTTTATAGGACAAAAAAATATATATTTAATTACCAATTGCTTAATGGTGGCAGGCAATCATCTGACCCATAGGTGGCAGCCATCTCAAGCCAGAGGACGAGAGGACTCTAGCCGCCACGCATATAAAGGATTTATAGTGAAAAACTTTGTTTTTACGGGTTAATTTTTTTATACCAACACAGTATTAACCAGGACGGTCCATGGGCTCGACCCATGAACCTTTGCAACGAGCAGCACACGTGCATCCGTTGGGGCATGTCACTCGCCCATAATGTGAACAAAACAAATATTGCAATGCTCAGAGAAAGTATGTGTTCAAGTTCAGCTAGTTCAATGGAGTCATCTCAGGTAATGACAGTTGCATAAATATGATCAAATTGATCAACAGTTTATTTAATTGGATGTATCTCTTTACACTTCCTATTTAGATTGGTAGTACTGTTGGTGGAGTGTCAGATTCACAATTGCAAAGCTCTGAGCTCAAATCCAGGTCAGATATCAACTCAGTTCATCACCCGAACAGGGTCAGTAATATGAGCAGAGTATCGCTGTGCGGGAAATCAATAGCAGTGGCAAAAGTAGCTCAGAGCCACCATAACAGCTACGCACCACCCAAACACTCGTGATCATAGAAGCACTTAACTCACTTGCGTTTAAATGACTATTAAAAATCTTCAGCAGGTCATTTGGACGCACCTCCATTTCCTGCAAGTGAGAAAAATGTACACAGTTTAACCATCAATCCCAATAAACGTCTAATAATGTTGACTGTGAGCAAGTGACTGACATCAATTACAGTTATAGAGGGGCTAGAAACTGAAACTTGGCACAAATATAGATGAGCATGGCTATAGATATATAACAATCCAAAAACAAAACGTTTTAAATCTTTGCCCCCCCAAAATTGTGTGTGTGGGGTGGGGGGGCAAATTGAATAGTTTTGTTTTCAAATCTAGGCCTACAAAAGTTTGTATCTGGAGGTTTTAACCTACATTTGAGATAGCATTTCGAAAAAAAAATCAGGTATTTTAAAGAAAGTACGATGCTAAAGTCAATAGAAAGTGGGCAAAGCCCACTTGCAGTTTATACTCTATGTTTATCTGGGAATGCATCAATTTTCCAAACTCTTTTTCAGGGTCCTGCTTTGGGACACTTAGCTAAACAGTACTGACCAGCAATGGGAGTTTTACGAAGCCTAACACACTACAGTTGAAATACTTAATAGAAAGGCAGAGCAGTGTTTTGTGCCATGCAATTTGCAGGGCAGATATGTAGACCTTTAATTTATAATGAGCCAAAATAAAATAAAAACGAGGCTTCAGCTAATGAGAAATTATGGGGATGAGAAAATATTGTCAGCATATGACCACACGTGAAAAGCTAAAGTCATGGTGTTCAGTAGCGTATCTAGGTAGAAGATCCAACCTCTCCTGCCACCTCTGAGAAGACCATGAAGAGCTCCGCTTTCTCCTGCTCAGTGAGCTCCAGGGAGGGCAGTCCCATCTGCAGAAATACAATTATTGTTGTTTTTTATTGTTTTATTTTTATTAATTTTAATTTAATTTTTTACCTACGTGACTTTACCGAAAGAACTAAGAGTATGAATCCTTGCAGTCACGAAAGCTTCAAATCTAGAATTAATACAATTATTGTGTCCGAGCTTTAAATATACTCTGTAACATAACGCATTGAACAACCTTGCATGACCGACACACGTATTGGGCGATGTCCTTTTAACATGTATGGCCAAATGTCACAAACAGAAAATACAATAAGAGCTTACCGGGTGCCTCAAGGGACGAATGTTAGTGTCAGAGTTCACAGCCAATACTGCTCACATTTTGTTACGTTTAGCTATCGACAACAGTTGAGGCCACGTTAATTTGTGTGTGTGTGTGCGGTAATTGGTAACGGGACCGAGACTGTATATTCGCACACCAGAAAACCTGATTATTGCAACAGCATGCAATCAATGGCATTTAATTTGCATGGATTTTAAAGAATCAATTTCCATCCGTATGAGTTGAAGCATATATTGTGATCGTAACAATGGATCAGAACTTAAAGCTTTCGTGACTGCAGGAATTCATATTCTTGGGTCTTTCGGTAAAGTCACGTAGATAGGTTCAAAGAAAATAATAAAAAAATAACATAAAACTACAATTATTTTTGATTATTTTCTTTGTACCTATCTACGTGACTTTACCGAAAGACCTAAGAATAATGGATCTTGAATGTATGCGTAAGAATGTTTAAAACTGCACCTTTAAGGGAAGGTCTGCTGCTACTGTACTTTCGTCTTCACTGAAAAAACCCACACACACACGGTGTCATACCATGAAACAACACATTCAAAAGGCTATGAGCTTCTTAAGTATGCAAGTTTTACATAAACAATCCTTTTGGACATATAAAACTAATTATTTGGTAATGCTGCGATTCAGCCAATGGCTATGAAGAAGGGTTATTACCCAAAACATCACCGATTATATATTTTTTTTTATTTTAAGGCCGTGTTGTTGACAAGTGTGTTTTTGTAAATATATGCTGGCATGCCTACAACAACAAAACACTGCAAGGTCAACCTGTACTCACGTGAAGAATGGTTATCTGGTGAGAACACAGCCTATGAATGTAAATGGATGATATAATAATTGTCATTGTTTATTTGGTTACCCAGGAAAGATTAACTGAATGCCTGTAGGTTTTCTTTGTATGATGTTTGGCCAGTTCCAAAATAAAGATAATTGGTTAATCCAGAAAAAAAACTCGACGTTGAATATACAAGGGATGAATATTAAACCGCAAATGATTTCACAACCTAATTGTTGCACTGCCTCCTCCAAGCACCATCAAACTTAATCCGGCCCTGCCGACGGGACCGTCCGCCGATGCCTATTTTTATTAAATCCTTTATATTAAGTTCACTTGCTTGCGCGCTTACGACCGTGCAAATCTTTCGGTCGTTTTTTAACCCACTTCCCGTGATCCAATCGAGCTGACATTTTGCACACAGACTCGTTGTGCGTGTCAATTTATTTTCGTGAACATTTTTTTCCAAAATTTTCCACTTTTTAGGAAAAAAAAAATGACATATTTTATTTAAAATACCAATGTGATAAAAATGAAACTCTTACTCAAGAAAAACAGAAATTAATAATAAAATAAAACCGATGCCACGTATATAAAGGATTTATAGTGAAAAACTTTGTTTTTACGGGTTAATTTTTTATTTTACAAGGTAAGACCCACTGAGCTAGAAATAGCTCTTTTTCAGAAGCAACTTGGCCACAAAGTGGCTTATTATGTCGAATTTACAGCTGCCAAATACTCTCAATGCACGTTTCTATAAAGATGTATGCGACCGTGGGGAGAACATGCAAACTCCAAACGTACAGCCGTCAGGGTCGGGATTGAACCCACGACCTCTTGTATACCAAGAGAGGTAGTTAACATCTTGCCACTGTGGCACCCTTACCTCATGGAGCTGAGCTTCTCAGCGAGGATGCGCAGCACGAACCCGGCCTCGTGGTGTGGCTCCCGCGTCGATGGCACCACCGTGTAGGTGCCGGGCGGGAGACAGAACCGTACGAACACCTCCCGAGCCTCCACAAAGTCTGCCGTGCCGGCCACCGGGAGCCTTTCCCACCTCCGCTCGGCATCCTTGTCCTCCTGCTCAAACGAGTACTCAACTTCAACCAATTGTGGTATAAGTTTAATATTCTCGTGATCAGGGCCAATCATGCCAAAGCATGAACACCGTTGACTTTGGACATAGCGATACTGTAATTTTTTTCTCACGCGGATGGATAATGGACTGAGTTGTTCCCCGGATAAGGAATTTAACTTTGCAACCTTTCAGTTGTCAAATATTCAAAAGCCACATTGCCAAACAGACCTAATCCTGTAGGAATATTCACTTAGCTACGTGGACAGATGTGATTTATATTCAAATACCGAGAAACACTATATTTAGGTATATAGATACATATGTAGCAAACTATTAACTTTGAATGAGGATAAATACATTGTATTTGAATAATATATTTTGCACATATAGAAAAGACTGTAAAATATACATTGTAGGTATAAGTACATTTGGGGTAAATGGTCTGCGAACATGATTTGGATTGTTATAAACATAAGTGGCGAAACAAGTGGTGAAAAAAATACGTGTCAGTAAATAGGAAACATGTGGTGAGGATTAAGCAAATGAAAGCTTACTAATGGAATGTTTCAGTGGTCTGACACATACACAAAACTCAAAAGCACCATCACATCGCAGTATGGACGATAGATTCAGTTCAACTGAGTACGTCTAATGCCATGGCATTGTCTAAGCATTTCTCGCTGAACAAAAATAGACAGATTTATTTTATCTGCACTAAAGTCCAAATTTAGTGATATACTATGCCCAAGTAGATTAACAGCAACTTCATCATTATACAAATGATAGTCCACATATTTAAAGTGTCTGAAACGTACGTGAGATATCATGCAATTATCCAAGTTTATTGTTGCAGAACTGGAAATGTTAAGACCACTCACCTGGAAGATACTGAATCCAATTGGCAATAGTTGAGTTCTACAACCATGTGCAGAAAATCTCTGTGATCTTGTCTGAATCAGGGAGACAATGAATGAGCAGTCCACTTCACCATCAGTGGGGTCATCATCTTCTTTAAAGAGCTGAAGATTAAACTGTGGGTTGGTCCAGAATGTGCCTAGATGTGGGCACACACGCACACACGTCCCCAGTTTAGACAAAATACTGTTGAGGAATGTAATGTAAGAAAGTACCGATAAAGGCTGCCATGACTATAGGGGCAAAGTGGTCAGTGCCATGCCTGATCATCATCATCAATATCATCGGGATCAACACTGTAACTCTTACCCGTTTTAATGCTTTAATGTTCCACTTGAAATAGTTTGCCTAAGCTATAGACCCTGTGCACTCACCTTCAATTCAAGATCAAGTAATCGTCACGGCCAAAGCCATTGATGCCACTACACCTCACCACCCCTTTCCAATCTGCCATCTCCCACAGCTGCTGCACAGTAGACGGGCGACTTCCACGATCTGCCATAACAGCCTCCCACCATCTGGTCCTAGTTCATCCCCTCGGTCGCCGGCCTCACGGAGACCATTGGTCATATTCAGTTCTAATTAACGTAGACATTATTAGGCAGGTGTGCTTCATGACTGTGCGCTATAGAGTATGAATGGTATATTATCGATAAGGGGTGCACAAGGGAGATGCATGGGTGACCTGGGAAGGCAGAGCCCCCACCAGCGGAGCATCCGCGCACCCAGCAGCCCCGGTGCACAGTGAGAGAGCCTCTCTTGCATGTGTTCTCTCCCAGGTCAGCTGGGGTCAGGTGGCACAGTTGCATCTGTGTGAATGTGCTCCTGAAGTCCTCTAAAGACATCCTTGAAAAACAGAGGATTTGGGATGATGGGCAACCGGAAATTCTGTTAGCTGGATCCTATAATACATTTCTTACGAGCCAAGATAAAACAACCTCTAAGTCAAAGGTCAAAGCGTCTTCCTGCTCCAATGATTATGCAGCAGTGTTTATCTATAATGATGGCCCTGAGTCAGCGGTAGGAATTCCACATTCTTAAGAGAAGATGTCAGTCTTTCCATAGAATTGTTGATTTCCCACCAAAAAGCATTGTTGATTTTCCCACCAAATAGTGAGGCATCATCAGCCGGTACTCATTTTGCAGACCCTTGAGGATAGATGATGAATGCCCAAATTGACCTTAATAGGGGTTTTTATTGAACAAATCCTAAAGAAAACATAAGCACACTGATATACTGCAGAGACAAATGTTTATATATAAGGTTGTAAAATATCCCGTAACATTGTTTACAAGAGCAGAAACACAATGTAATTTCCAGACTTAGATCATTATTCATGAGAGCAGATGTTTATCAGAAACATTGAAAACTATGACCAGCATTCTTGAGGATGATTAGGAATTTATCCTGACCACCGTGCCAACATTCACCAATTGGCACATGGTGATGATGACGATGATGGAATTGTGACACATCCCCAAAATGGCACTCACCAAAATTCCTCATCACTGACGAGTGACAAGAGGGCTTTTCTCTCTGGTGCCGCTATCTGCCGCCACTCCTGTGAGCTGTCGACAGAAAATACATCGGGCACACAAAACACATTCGTTTTATATTTTTAGAAAGGTTTCATGTGATTCAATTAAGTGTTCATTATGCTTACAGGTGTACGTAATGAAAATTATAAAGAAGATATAATTAGCAGCTCTTTGGAAATCCACTCCTGGATGAAGGCCTCCCCACAGTGTCAATAATGGGAGTTGTTTGACCATACGGGACCGTAATGGTGGTCAGTGCGAGTTGATTAAAAGGGGAACTAGGACTGGTTGGGATCTTACTCGCTACTGACGTGAGCCGTGGCGACCTGAGTTCTATTTCTGGCCATGACTAACATCAGTGGCGAGTGATATCCGAACCAGTCTTGGAACCCCCCCCCCCCCATTCACCACCCTGCCGCCACTCTACGTGTAAAAAAAATATCATCAAACAACCTCCACGACCAACACGGTACGGCAGGCCTTGATCCATTGGGGTAAATTATTATTCACGTGTAATTATTAAAGAGAGGTTAGGGAAATCCTAAGCAGCGATATATATTCTGCAGATGCACACTCACCGGTGTCCCCAGGGCCCCTTCCAGCGTGACTGCGCCCATGGATCCTTAAGTAACATCAGCGGCACTTTCTGCTTGGCCACACACGCCTGGACAGACGGCACAACACAATGCGTGTGAATTACATATGCGCTGTCAAAATGCAAATCTGAATCTGGGTAACACAAACGACTTAAGACCCAGGAGGACAAGCACCATAATTGGTCAGCACAAGCAAGAAACCTGAGATGAATTCCTGGGCCTCTAAACCAAATTATCATATATACTGAGTTTTTGGTCACAGCTCAGGTAACAATAATTGGAGAAATACATGTAATTCTTTACGTGTAAAAATATATATAATATTAGACTATATTAGTTATACATATATGCAGGGTTTGTTCAGAACTCAAAAAATACTTTGAACAAGTGCCAAAAATCAGCTGAAGGTTAGTACATTTTCCACACTAGACTACACTGCAGTCCAAAATGTCACTTTGAATATATATACAGCCTATATATGTATTGCAAAATTTAAAGAAAAAAACTATTATCTGCATTGAAATTTCTACAGCTGTTTACGGACACCACGTGAATCTGTGGATAAACACTCGGTCACTTTCCCCCCTTTGGCTCCAATTCTGTTACCCGCATCATCCGTGCACAGGCGCTGGAGAGTAATTGAGCATGTACGCACACACGCTGCACAACAATCGAGCGCACGCGGGCGCGTATGTACCGCAGAGGAGGCGAGCGGCTAAGCACGTGTGTGTGCGTGCGTTGCACGGCAATTGAGTTCGCATGCTCGTGCTGCAGACCATCGTGGTGGGAGTGGACGAGGTGTACGCAAAGGTCCAGTTCGTGTACCTCCTTGATTCCTGTCACGAAGTACACGTGCTCCTTCTCCAGGCCAGATATGGGCTCGGGCTTCTCAACCTGCAAGAAATCACCGCTCTAGGGTGGGTTACTGGTAAATATGGAATTGGTGCAATTACAGATGTCAAGGCGCCGAGCTGCTGGTCATCCTCAATGCTTCGTCGCGTCATAGTTGTAGTGTGAGAGTATAGAGTGTGTAATATTATAGTACACTAAATCAATAATAAGATATTTCTGTGAAAACCAGCATTCATAGATCAATTATCGATGCAAATAAATTTGACTGTACAATATATGCACGTGCGTAACTTTTTTTTCAGTGAAGACTTTTTCCACTGGGTTGACAATAAAATGAATACCCGTGCTCACATTTGATTAAGCAACCAAGATGTGCAATTTATACCGTTATGAGATCAAAATGCAAACTAAACAACAGTACACACATTAGCGGACAATGCAGCCATGTTATATGCAGTTAAGTGAGTTGCAAGGTAGCCAGCAGATGGCAGTACAATAAATAAATGCTTGATCATTCTGTGATTACTTTTGTGTGTTCGCTTTTCATGTTTGTGGGGTTTCATTGGATAACCTGATTTCCATCCACATGAAAAATATTCATGAAGTAATGGCCAAACATCCCAATGTAGGACCCTCATTAACAATATTTTTTTAAATCAGAAAGCATATTTAAAAGTATATGATAGCGCTGAGAAAACTGACCATGCTGATGAAGTATGGTTAAACAACCCCATGACCGTGGAAAGGCCTTCATCTACAAGTAGATTTACAAAGGGATGAAAATTGCAATTTTTTCTAGTATACGATCACTTACATTTCTGGTAGGTATGATTAAGCACGGTGGGTTTACCTACACAGACGCGACAAACTGTACGGCATGCAAAGCAGGACATACAGCACGGTCATTGTGTCAATTGTCGTTCCAACGATTGGCGAAGTAATTCCCTCACGTCAACGGAGCAGGCAAGGAAGGATCCTCTTCGGAAGGCGGTCCTCATGTTTCGGTACAAGAGCTCAGGTGACTCGTCGGTCAGTGGCAGGGACTCCATGATACCGCCCGTGAAATCTTCCATCGCCTCCCACGCACCCACGTCTCTCAGGGCTTCGTACGAGCCGTGAAGCCTGGGCAAGGGACAACACATCAACGCGGTCACTTCTAGCCAATGCTCAATTACGAACACCGGGACCCACTAGCAGTCTCTCGACTGCACCATGAGTTTAAAAGATGCTCTTGTCATGAAAGTGAATATATGAGACGCGTTGAGATTAAATCATAGGTGGCGCTGTGATCAGAGTGCTTGATTCACATGTGGAGGATCGCTCGTTCAAATTCCTATTACGGGTCAACCCAGCTCATCTTCCCTAAAGAGTTTATAAAGTGAGTATCAACATGTACGAATACAACAGTGGTTTTCCCATTGGGAGACAGGTGCCTACTTTAGGAACGCTTCTAAATTTGTGTTCAGAGCCACTGTCGGAGATGAACACTGTCAACCAAAATATTTTGAGATATATACTCTAGGGCCTAAGCAGCTCAAAAGTGCTTATTGGTCTATACATATCAACTGAGTGTTGTCTCCTCTTATAAGCGGGTATTCTCCACTCATTTTTTTCCTACCTCACTTACAAAAAATTAACCCATAAAAACAAAGTTTTTCACTATAAATCCTTTATATGCGTGGCGGCTAGAATCCTCTCGTCCTCTGGCTTGAGATGGCTGCCACCTATGGGTCAGATGAATGCCTGCCATCATTAAGCAATTGGTAATTAAATATAAAAAAAAAATTCCTAAAGAGTGTAAAATTTGGGAAAAAATTTTTCACGGAAATACATTGTCACGCACAACGAGTCTGTGTGCAAAATGTCGGCTCGATTGGATCACGGGAAGTGGGTTAAAAAACGACCGAAAGATTTGCACGGTCGTAAGCAAGTGAACTTAATATAAAGGATTTTAAAAAGTATCAATGGTCAAATATCCCAATGAGGCTTTCTAGGATAAAAAAAATCTTGCAACATGGTTTCTATAACGTTATCCTCTATGAAATAATTATAATGAGACAATTTTGAGCTAGATCAATAAAACGATACACCGCCATTATTCAAATAATGAAACATTTGTCATACACATCCACGTCCACCAGGCATTGACGACACACATCATATCGGGAATTGAGAGTCCCACATGGCCACCAACCCCTCAGCAGTGATTATTTTACTGGTAGGAACCTCCTGGTTACACCAGCCCACATGGGATTATTGTGTCCGTCCGTCCGTCGTGAAGGGAGGGGCTGGGTGGGGAGGGAGGTGATGGGTGGGGAGGGGAGGGTGGGGAGGGGCTGAGTGGGGAGGGGCTGGGTGGGGAGGGTGGGGCTGGGTGGGGGGTGGGAGGGGTGGGGCTGGGTGGGGAGGGACTGGTCACCCCGTGGTGCCCTTATAAAACTCAACGTGTAACCTACTCACGCCGGCTTGTGCCCGCCCTCACGTTCGGGCATATTTGCGGAATACACCACGCCGCCGTTCACCCTGGCCATTGACCGAGCAACCCAACGTTCCTACCAGCTCCCTCCGCAAGAATGTGTTTTAATTATTCTGTTATACTCGTAATGCATTTCTCGAAGGGCCTGCACTCATTTCACACAATAACGGTGCAAGTTGAAATGCTTTTGTGAACTGTGCTCCGAAGAATACTGAGTTCCAATGTGGAATTGACTTTGAGACGACATTACATCGCTGCTTTGACATGTTCAACAGTTTCCCGAGACAGCGTGGTAATGCTAACATGTTATTTGATTTCATTTCAATGTGTCTCATAATTTTACGTTGATGATCGGAGCACAACATTCCTCACCATCCCAGCAGTGGTTTGCTACACTTTGGAACTCTCATTTCACATGAAAAACATGTCAAACCTAACTAGGTACACATTTTACTTTCTCTTGTAAGGAATTCCATTTTGTTGGAGGGTACTCATCTCACATCGAGCGGTACAAAAAAAACGACGAAATAAAACGCAAATTTTGTCAACATTTCAACCCCGTAGCTGAAACTGCTGTCAAATTAGAATTCGTCGGCAATCAATGATCCCTTTACGGACACTGTGTTTTTATGACGATAATAATGACTCATACACCAATGAGCAGTGTAATGGTTAATACATTACCATTAAAACGATATAACGAGAACTGAACGCGTTGACACGAGTGTGCCGCTGGCTGCACGCTTACTCCCGTACTTGGCGTAAGCCTTTTCCAGCAAAGCTGCCCAGAACTCATTGTGCTTGGGCGAGTGCACGAACACCAGCTTGTTGTTGTAAGTGGGGAGGCGGTCATCCACAACCACGTCCACCCACTCTCCAAACTGCCAGAACTGTGAAGAGGCAAGAGCGATGCACAGACAACGGCGAATCTTGAGAGGTCTTCGAGTGATCAATTGAGAGGTGTCCTACCGGGAATATGTGGAATTTTCGCAACCGGCCTAGGACTGCCAATGGAGGTGAACAAGGAGATGCTTTGATTTGTATTGATTTATAACTCCACTGGGGCAGTGTTGGGCTTTCAACGGGCTGCAAAAACAGCTAATTAAAGTGGATATTCGATCATTCATAGTCAGTCAACGATACCAGTGATCAGTGGCGGCTCCTGCAAAATCTCTCAGGGGGGGCAAATGTCTGGATGATTGATAAGGATAAGGTCCACCCATGCAATGAATAAATTAACAGCTTAAGCATGTAAAGGCAACTTCACTTCTTTAATATTAATGAAAAATAAAGTGACTCTTACAATACATCTTGTTTGTTTATATACTCACTATTAAAACAAACCACTCAAGTTTATTTTATTAAAGATTCCACTAGGTAGCGATAAATTATATTGTTGGATGAAACGTGCTTACGTATGATGACGTTAGCACGTATGATGACGTAAGCACGTTAGTGCATGCCCTCCCGGAAGCCATAGAGAATGCATTGGAGCGCCCCCGTTCGAAAAAAACATCTTTGAATGTAAGTCTATGGGGCCACTCGGGGCGATTCTCAGCCGTAGTGAAATCGCCCCAAAAGAGGCGGTACTCCACAGAACGTGACATGACGCTGATTGGACTATATCCAGAGGCTGACAGTGACGGCTAACGTGACTCTGTGGTTGAATGACATTGGTGGTGCGTCGCCCAATCGCCCTAATGAAGAAACCGCCCCTGCCAGTGATCAATATGTTCTGAAACATGGCCAGAATACAAGCACCAATCAGCATGCTGAAATTACTTTAACACACTGTGAACCACGTGTCACGTTATGGGCACATTGCAAATGTAAGTTGACGTAATAATAGGTTACGACTTTGGTTTCTGGGTGACATTACCGACAGTACCATTAGCGACCCAATCAGGGCAGTTTACCTGCTCCAATGAATGCCTCTGCCCTGCCCGACTCTCATTTCAAGCACTGTTGTCTTTCTCTTCCTAGTCAATTCGGCAGTGCAATCACTGCCAAATATCACCTTTTACGGAGGGACTTGCCAACATTCTAACGCTCAAAGCGTGGGGGAAATTTAGTCTCGGCAAGCATGACCTGCATTCTTGACCTGCATTTTCCCCTCACAAAATAGTCCAAGGATGCCACACCGCTGTTCGTTGGAGCAATAACAGCGCCACAAGACACCGTACGTGACCTTTACGAAAAATGCGGCAAGAGAACATGGAGACGGTTTGTGTGCTAAACATTGCATAGATTCGCAATATCCTGAAGACAACCTATCTGTCGTATCTCCATGGCCAGGAGAAGCATTGTTAGCACACGCAACACAGACAAACAAACGACCTAATGCATTTTTACCTTAACCTCTGGCCTTTAGAAAAAAAAACACTGATAAAAGACTGCAGATGCCAGCGATGGCTTTACAGTGTAAAATCACAATGGGCTCCAATCAGATTTCAAACACAATAACTGGATTCTTTTATATAAGTCAGCAAGCAACAACCCGTGCTGTGATTCTTTTTTTTATTAAACCAGATCCTTGTTAAAACTGCATTGCATGGGTGACCTGCATCCTAATGAGTCTTCGCCCTTCATCACCTAATGAATTAACACCATGAATGGAAGCTGCACTTTGCATCTAAGTGACCCCAATAATCCCTGTAAATCTTTACCTGTCAGTTAGGACGTGTTTTTTTTTCTCGCTAGATGCTACGAGTGGCAAATAAAGTGTTGAAGACTCCACAAAGATAATTTAGCGCTAAACCTGCATTCTTTGCAAAATGGTAAAAGAGTGACACACCACGAAGAGTCTGTGGAGTGGTAGTGGCAACATCTTGCATCTATTAGAAGTGACGTTACAGCTGCACAAAGCAGCCGAGGCTACAAAGCAGTCTCGTGGTTCCCAACCTGTGCTATGCGTTCCCCCGTGGGGTACCGGTACATGTGACATCGCCAGGAAGAATGCGAGGAAAAGTCACGGACAGGTAGTGGTCACATGGGTTATGGTCAGGCAGCGTTACGAAGCAGTGCTGCTGTGTGTTTGTCTGCTAGTAATTATACAGCTATATACCTTATACTGGTAGTAACCTCCTGGTTACACTAGCCCACAGGGGATTATTCTGTCCGTCCATCCGTCGTGTATCCAAAAATGGGAGGGGTAGGGCTGGGTGGAGAGGGGAGAGTGGGGAGGGAAGGGCTGGGTAGGGACGGTGGGGAGGGGCTGGGTGGGGAGGGTGGGGAGGGGCTGGGTGGGGAGGGTGGGGCTGGGTGGGGAGGGGAGGGTAGGGAGGGGCTGGGTGGGGAGGGTGGGGAGGGGCTGGGTGGGGAGGGTGGGGAGGGGCTGGGTGGGGAGGGTGGGGCTGGGTGGGGGGTGGGAGGGGTGGGGCTGGGTGGGGAGGGGCTGGTCACCCCGTGGTGCCCTTATAAAACTCAACGTTTAACCTACGCACGCCGGCTTGTGCCCGCCCTCACAGTCGGGCATATTTGCGGAATACACCACGCCGCCGTTGACGCTGGCCATTGACCGAGCAACCCAACGTTACTACCAGCTCCCTCCGCAGGAATGTGTTATGTTGTATAGCATTGAGATAACCTCTGCACTTGGATGCCTCAGCCATTCACACACTCTGCTTTGTGCAATTATGTCTTTAGAGAGGTTCATACATTTTCTTTCGTTATTTTACATCAAGTTTCTTTTCGTGTACATTTTTGTTGTTGCTGCTGCTATTTTAGTGGTTGCTTTAAATAAAGACTTGGCCTCGCCATAGGAATATGGAATTTCCACCACCAGTCCAGGGCCACCAATGAAAATGAACACCGGCCCCACCTTCATTCAAGTAGTCAGACACTTTGACCTGACCACAGTTATTGAAGCGCACATTTTCATCGTATCTACGTGGAAGCGATATCTACACGTGGGTGTTTTCGCCACGAGTGAGCCGTGTTTAAAGTGGACGTTGGCGTCACCTGGAAGTGGAAGATGCCGGCGTAGCCGTCGCTGAAGCTCTGTCCTTCTGGCACCACGCGAGCCAACAGCCTGGGGTGCAGGGTCAGGGATGCAATGGCTGCCAGCAGCCAGCAGTCGCCTGCTCTCACACATTCGCACATCATCTGACATGCTCTATCCAACGTTGGATAAAGGCCTCCAGAAGCTGTTTCCATCTCTCACGGTCACGCAATGCACGCGAGCTGATCTCATTGCGCCATCTCTGCGGTTGCTGCTCAGTCGTAAGTCTCAACCACCAGCCACCATCCCTTCTCGCAACGTATCCTACCCATACCCACTTGTATTTCTTTACAGTCAATTTAATCTTTGTATGTTGAATGATCCATGTGTTATCTTTCTGTCTCTCATTGCAATTCCACGAATGCAACTTTGCATGCTTCTTTGCGCACTTTTCAGCTTTCTGGTCCATTTTTTCTCAATATCTATGTTTGTACACTTTCAAAAATAAAAAACACAAAGATCCTAGTCATACATACTACATTAGCAAGCGTGATGAGTCCTTTCAAAGGAAAAAACAGTCCAACACAGTACACGAGAACGTGGGGATCTCACCACGTTGCGTGTGCCTGACATGGTGCACTTTGAAGCCAAGAAACTTCCTGGCAGGTCGCGGGTCAAACTCGGGTATTGGAGGTCAGCAGACACTCTGACAATGGGTCCACCATCTAGTCCAGGAGTGGGAAACCTTTTTTCTGCCAAGGGCCATTTGGATATTTATAACATAATTCGCGGGGCCATACAAAATCATCAACTTAAAAATTAGCCCGTTATATTTGGTCAAACATTTAATTAACTCACCCCTAATGTGATGGCTGTAACAAACCAAATGATTTTGCGGGCCTTATACGGCTGACGGGCCGGACGTTCCCCACCCCTGAATTCTAGTCTGATAGGCTATAGATAGAGGCAAGTAGCTTTCGCGAGCACCTATAAAAACCAGGAAAGCACACAAGTGGGCAGAGGGGTGAAAAGCTTTCCTGGGCATGCTTGTCTCTTTTGAGTGTAGCGTCACCAACCATGCAGCCATCAATGCAGAGTGCTAGCATTGACTGGCAGAGGGAAATACACCCTCTATCGATCTGTGTCTCTTTCAAAGTAATGCCTTCATCTGGCATGCACAGTTTATTTTCATTCTGCGTTGCATAATACATGAGTTCCTCCTGTACACTGGACAAAAAGGCTTATGTTAAGAGCAACTTTCGTCACTCTCATATCAACACAGTAAAGTATTAACAGCATCTACAGTGCAGTGATGTTGATATTCAGCAAACGTTTGCGGAGTGAAATCAATTTCGATAGGATTGTAGATGTAAGATCCTTGAAATGATTCATGCAAGAGCAACGCACTGTAAATTCAGAGAGGCTGTTCAATGCCATAGGACAAAGCGATGGTGCATGTATATGACAAGAGAATAAAATGATTAGAATGTGGCCTTAAGAGGAGTTGCTTAAACATGAATAAGGTTAGTATGTAGAAAGACAGGCAGATAATATTTACAAAGCAGTATCACTGAGAAGTTGTGGTCACGTCGTTTATTCTGGGTTTTCTTACCAAAATCCCCTTGCTTCATGTCAGTGCAGTCCAAGCTGTCGACCATAAACACTGCATTCTGGGAGATCTCCTGCCAGCACATTGCATCATTAGAAAACATAACTTTGTTGAAAACACAACATTTATTACTGATTTGCTAACAGTGCTACTGAAATAAACACTTTAACAGTGGCAAGCCCATCTGAAGAGTGATATTTTTCTCACTAGCAGAAACATCACATGTTGTGGTTAGTTAAGTAGCCTCCAACATAGTTCTGAACTGAGTGCTATTTTTGGCATCAACAGCGATGCTAAAAAAATATGGTGAGAAATTTAAAGCTTCCAAGTATCTTTGCACTCTTCTAAACATGAGTCATTGCTATGTTCCAATGGTGATCCTGAGCTACTGGTGGAATATTCACATTTCCTATTATTGGGGGACAATCTCTCTTTCAAGGGCTCCTCTGCTTAGGAACGTTATTCGACTTAGGAACTTTCAGAGATAAGACCAAACCTGTTCGTAGCGAGTTTTTCAAAAGAGTAGAGAGGAAACACGAATACCAAAGGGAGTTAGCATCCACATCTACACAGTATGATCAGGCAAGAGGCACCGTCAGAGGTCGCAAACGGGTTTTGATTCCTTACCCATACCCGTAGCCGGCTGGGTACGGGTTCCCATTCCCTACCCGTACCCTACCCGAAATGAGTAAAAAACGGTTACTCACCAGTGACTCACGGCCTACCCGTACCCGGCCGCACCAGGGTCGCAAACGGCTACCCGTACCCGTACCCGGCCGGGTACGGGTAGCCGGGTATCGGGTAGTGTACGGGTATCGGGTACCCGGTTGCGACCTCTGGGCACCGTGCAACTTCAGCCGAACTGTTTTAGCTCACAACTTGTGATAATGATATGCTGAGTCTCGATAGGGTCTATTCATGTCATGCTTTATTTCCAATGCAGTTATCCATCATTACTTATGGGGTAACATATTCAATTAGCCTGAGCGAAAACAAATAATGTTTCTGTTACATGTCTAAATGTGTTTAAAGTGATTTGCATTACAATTATTTTTTTAACATCCTACATGTAACATATTTATTATTTTTAAAATAAGGGGCCGTCTATAAATGACGTCACGCGATTTTGGACGATTTTTGACCCCCCCTTCGTCACACGGCGTCACAAAAAGTCACCCCCCCCCTCAAATATGACGTCACAAAGCTCTGCCCCCCCCCCCCAAATTATTGTCATTGTAGTGCGTATTTAATTTGGCGCTGCACTTTGATGTTGTAGGAGAAAACATTTATTAAAAAGTATTTAATTAAGTAGAGCGTGTTGTTTATTTAAAGTTGCGCATATTAATGTGACGTCACACATCGTCACAAATGTCTGACCCCCCCCCCCCAGGTGTGTGACGCCATTTATGGACGGCCCCTAATTGTATCAAAATTATAACATTTTCGTACCTATTACAAACAATATTATTTTCTACATACTTGTAATTTGAAGGATTCTGTTAAAACTGTATAAACCATATTATGGTATTAAACTGGCCAACACTATGCAGGCTATTGGGATTTGGCCCAATTCAAAGGTGAATAATTGATTAAAAGTTTACATTTGATAACAATTGCTGCAACTTGCTTAAAGCAATGCAGCCATGTAGTAAAGCAGCAGGCTCCCAATAACAAGACAATGAGTTTGAATCTCAGCTTGAGCCAATTCAGCCCATCATTTATCCACGGTCATAAAATAGGTACTATCCGATGAGAAACACTTTTCGGGAAATTTGAGGTTGTCATTAGGCAATGCCTAGTACCACTGAATTGTCCTAATTTGGTAGGGAGAGTGACTGTTCTAATTAAGGTTCGGGTCTACTGTGGAAATATCATATTGACACCATATGGTCCAGTTGTTAACAGAGGTCTCCTTACTCATACCCTTATGCCTGGTCACTAAACTCACTACCACAGGGATATACAGTATGTGGAGTGCTCACGTGATTAAAGAAAAGTGGCTCCTGTTTTTTAGGCAATATTTACATTTCCACCACTTTACCAACCCAGCCCATCAATGTCATCCATCTAGGCGCCAGGTACTGGTAGACAATTGTGATTTCTGTGGCAACAGCAAGTCAACGGCCAGGGCATTTTGTTGTTTTGTGTGTGTTCACCCACCAGTGGTCGCCTCCACATGACAGTCTTGAGCTTGCCCAGGTCCGCAGGCAGCCGCCCCGAGCCCAGGGATTCCATGTCCGCGTCGAAGAGCGGATCTTGGAAGAGGTCTCCCCGCTCCGTTGTCGCCCGGCGCAGGGCCTCGTAGTCCTGGCGTGGCGTGGCACCCAGCTCGGCACGGCCACCGCTGCCCCCGTGGCAGCCGTGACCTGGCGGACCCTCGGTTCCCATGACCAGGACCGACCCTGCCCCGTTTTGCTCCGACCTTGAACTCTGCGCCGAGACTTGACCTGGCCCTGACCCCGATCCGCACGCTCCCGCAGTGACCCCACGGGAGGACTCTGATGCCGCTCGCTGCTGCTGCTGCTGCTTCATCTCAGCAGCGAGCTACGGGCATCGAGAATCGAGGTGCAATCCCTCTCAAAGAGCAACCGCCACCACCATCACCATCATTATTATTGTTACGAGCGCTGCCTCGCCTCTCACGCTTTGCCTGCCGCTATCTCCGGTACTGCACGGCGGTGATGACGAGGAGGGTTTTGGTATGATCACAAATAAAGACGGGCAATGGCGATGAGAAGAATTGGGATAAAGACGACGACGTCGACGGTGATGATGGTGGTGCAGCCCTTGCTGCTTGGTGCTGCGTGAGATTCACGGATGTGGCAGTCGCTCTTGCTGCCTGCAGGGAGGCTTCTCCCCCCCCATCTCCGACTGCTGATTAACACTAAACCGCAACCCTGCTCTGAAATAGCATGATGTGTTTGAGTTTTGTTGTTGTTGTTAAATGTATACGTTCAAATATCGACAGTGTATTTGATGAAAACGTATTTAATGCATTCCCAATTAACGACGGAACGTTTATGTTTGATAATCGACAACATATTTACATATACAGGATTTATGTTTGATAATTATCTACACTATATTTAAACGCTGAATACGTATACAGTGTGTTTAATTTAACCTGACCTCGATTGTGAAGCATAATGTAAAACAAACGTAATAAAAAAAATGAAAATAATAATGAATTAAGAATCAAACAAATGCAACAAATATCATACCATCCCCGGCAAACCTCCACCATTGGAATTAGATTCGCAGGTTTAATGTACATCACTCGGACTGGTATTTTACAAGTTTCGTGGGCTTTGGCAGTGACCGACAGTCTAGAAAAAAAACGACTGCCGGATCGGCAGCCAAAGGAATTTAATTCGTCACTAGAGGACGCACATGGCGAGGAGATTGGAGCAAGGTACTTAAAGTTGGATTGCTAACAGCGTAAGATCGTGAGACTGTGGTGGTTTGGGGAGGCGTAGACCCAGTGCCTAATTAAGCTCGTGCGGGGTTTGTAGAATATGTTATAAAGGGGCCCTAAATAAAAAAAATATTAAAACACAAATTTGTAACTTGCGCAGTAAAGTAATTGTAATTTTTCATGTGCTATACAGCCAGATATGACAAATCGCTAACCTTAAACACCCAGTCGTTCATTAATGTAGAAGGCGGTATAGTACTATCGTATTAGAGCAAGTGCAGAATCACTGAACCGGAATTAACAGCTTGAAAGAATTTAGCACGGGGCCTTTGGAAGTGCGGGGAACGTAGCATATTTAGCGACTTTTGCTACGAGGATAATCCGTCATTGCTTAGAGCGGTGGATTTGCCGTGGAAGATACCGATGAGTATTGTTTATAAATTATCAGCATGGTCAGGATTGCTAACATAATATCACACCATTGTTGCCTGATATTATAGGCCACAGCCCATCTTCGACAAAAACGAGCCCTGGCAATCACAGAAGGCAATATTGTCCAACATATTTATCTGGAAAGCCCATAGAGACTGATAAATTGAAATCTGGTCTTTTTAAAAAATATAGAGATGACAAAGAGATGAAAACGATTGTATTTATTTATTACAAAATGTTCCGCAAAAGTATTTTTTATACCACTCGCTGCAATGTATGAAACTGACGGTCCGATTTTGATTTAAAGCTTTCGTGACTGCAGGGATTCATATTTTTGGTTCTAAGGGAAATAATAAAATAATAAAAATATAAAACAATAAAATTCTCACGACGTTTCGACTGCAACACAAGCAATCATCATCAGGTGTAAATCCACAGCAAGACAATTTGAAAACAGTGGCGGTTTTTGTGTTGCAGTCGAAACAGTCTTGAGAATTTTATTGTTTAATATTTTTATTATTTTATTATTTCCCTTCTACGTGACTTTACCGAAAGAACCAAGACTATTACGGCCCGATGTCAAATCGACTGCTGGGTGCAACCCTTCTCCTCTCCGTTTCGTGAAAACACTTCACTGCAAGGTTCCCAACCCTTATTCACGACGTATATCTCTCTTTGGCCTCTATGTGCCATGAAGAAGGGTGCATTTTCCCAAAACGTCGCCTATTGTATATTTATACTTCACTCGCTGATCAGTGCGGGTTAGTGAGAGGGGATAAACTGGTAGCGTTTCAGATATCACTGCAGCGAGTGATATCTGAAACGCTCCTGGCGAACAAACTATCTTTAAAAATATACTCAGCCCGCCCCGTTTAACCGACACATCAGGCAACCCAATGCCTTGTTGCCACCATCACTTGGATGCTCTTCCAATGTCATGCCTAAGGATGCTGCTATATCCTTGTGCACGGTTTGGTTCTAGCTCATGGTCGTGCAATTGCCAATGTATTAACCACAAATGCCAATGCACAATCTTACTTCCAAAAGCTTACAGCTTTTGGATCATGGGTTCTCTGTTACTACCAGAAGCCCAGATCCAATGTCACAGAGATGGGCACTCTGATGGGTTCATCAAAGTTCCAAGGGCAATTGCCATGAGCCTAGAAAATTACACTCAAGCAGGATTTTTAGGGGTCAATGGTAATGCCAGTACCCGAGTTGGGTAGATGAATACACAATATTTTTTCCCAGGCAAAACCAAGGTTCCTTTCAAGGTTCTAAATACAGACGTATTTCCCAAACGTTTTTTTTACCCCTTTGAATAGTAAATTGCTTATTTCACACGTATTACCTTTTACACAGACGTATGTGAGTAGGGTAGGTGCCAATACTTATCCATGTTAACACGGAGGAATTGATTTTACACAATTTAATGATTCGCTTACCATGTTAATATTTTTTCATGCTCTCATTACGCTTCACTTATGTATACAGCAGTGACTATAACAATATCGTGTAATGCAATAAAAATTGATAGTCATTGAATGCTGAAATGAAGGTAAATTGTACATTAAATCTTGACTTAAAGCTTTCGTGACTGCAGGAATTCATATTCTTTGGGTGTGTCGGTAAAGTCACATAGATAGGTTCAAACAAAAAAAAAACTACGACGTTTCGATCGCAACACAAAATGTTCGTGTGTTGCGATCGAAACGTTGTAGTTTTTTGTTATTTTCTTTGAACCTATCTACGTGACTTTACCGAAAGACCCCAAAAAAATGTACGTTAAAGCTTGTTAAACATACCTCTACCCCTGCACAAGTATAATGTGTGGTGTTACTAACCAAGACTGTAATGCTATAGCTTACTCCTGCTTTTAAAAGCGCCCCAGTGTAATTTAGGGAATTTAAATTTGGCGTGATGAACACGGACACCCAGCGCAAACAAGCGCAGAGTGTATAATCAAAAGTGAAGAGGGCGCTAATGCAGAAAATCCACGAGGTGGTGGTGCTCAGCTTTAGACGGGCTTTAGCCACACTGCCTTTTGATGGTCTGGACCAGGCCCAGAAAGTCATTTGGGCAGGGATTCTCAAACTCTCAAACTTCTCAAACTATTGTGGTATGGCGGCCACCCAATCAAGAACATCGATCCCCGACCCACCACTTCCCACCACCACCCTCCTAATTTCCACCCCCCAACCTCACTCAAGGCACTTGCAATCTCTATTTGCGTGCGTGCATTTGGCTGAACATCATCAAACTGCAGTGGACATTCTCTCGGGCGTGTTCCCTCCTTTGGTTTCCAAACCAATTGTAAAACTCAAACAATGACCATCCATCCCTTCCAGCGATGTGTCCCTGCTCAACGCCAATTACCTTTTAAAAAAATAATTTCATATTAAATATTCCTTAATGTTAACTGGAATTGGCTGCAATCACCTTTCTCCAAGACGAACAGTGGGCAGGAATTGTGGCACAATACAAATCGTGGCCACGAACGAGGAGCTGGTTATTAACCCTGCACAAGATCTTCTGGGGTAGGACCTACCCATGAAACAGTGGTCTGAACTAAATCGATTGGCAGAGCAGGGCATGGCAGACGTGGTCACTTTCATTATCAATTAAAAATGAAAAAGAATGTCCTCAATGGTGACTGCGGTCACCAGCACCAACCCATCGATTACATAATTAACACTGCCCGTGCCACCTATTCAGGGGCAAAATCACCGGCATACACCAAGGCACCACAGAGACAACTGAATGGGTTAAAAAAACTTGATACATATACAATACACATGTTGCTAATTTCACCTTGCCATATGAAAGAAGATTTTTTTTTTTATTAAAAAAAATACCAATCCATTTTTTAAAAGTAGCCCTTTACTTTTGAAAGGAGGCACCTCTGTTCCAGTCGTGGCCTCGAAGCAGTTTTGGCCAAGAGACAACCATCATAGGTTAAAATGTAAAATGGTGGCATCTGCTCTGGGCGTTATGCTAAAGTCTAGAAATCATACTACCATACTTGTCAACCCATACGGTGTACCCGTATTCTTGTACAGGGAAATTGACTTTTCAGGTCCATACGGCGTGCAGCCGTTTGCGATGGGACTTTGCAGGATGAACGTTGAGATTTGCAAGGGGAACGGAGTGACCAGTAAGGTCTGAATTGGTCTGTAATAAGGTAGGCACTGATGAGGAGTTGACATGCATGCACTACACACAATAGGAGCACTGGCTGCGTAGAAAACTAAACAGTGTTGTGGTAGCTCTCTGATAAACTCCAAACTCCATATGTGGCTCAATCTTGATCTAACGAGGGATGTATTTTAGTGACACACCATTAGTCCTTCAGGAGGCTACTGGGCCTCCTTTTACGAATTTCTCCTGCACGGTAACCCACGGCACAGCCTGAGCCCACCCCCTCCCCTGAAAAGACAACTGCGATGATAGAATAAAACATTTGATTTTTATTTAGAAATTTTAATGGAAGCCCTCATATTTATTGTATGACTCACAACGCGTCATAATTAATGGCGCAGTGGTGTGTGCGTTTGTATATGAACCGAACGAAGCGAGATACGGGGTGTGAAGGCCTTCATCCAGAAGGGCATTGACAAAGGGCTCTAAAATTATATATTCTCCACAAAAGCACATGCAAATATATGGTTTGTGGTGAACAGAGCCCTGTATTAAAGATTGCCCGTAACATGTCAACCGGAGCAATATTTATTTAACAAGCTTATTGCCTGGTGACACGCAAAAGGTCAAACCCCGGTCCTTAGTTTACTTAAACAAATTATGTTGAATGATATTGGTCTGGAAAGCCCACAGACTGATTGATGAAAACATCTTTCATATCAATGAGGCGAGACAAATACGCAGAATTTAAGTGGTCTCCCCAGAAAGGCCTTCTTACAATGCTTCGTTCCATGACTTCTGCTCATGTTGTCTGGAGTTCTCTTAAACTTCGTGCACTTGATTATCTGGCCCTTGTTCAAGACTTGAGGATTGTCTGTTCTCATGTGCATGTAGCTATGGTTTGTTTTTTCACCTGTGAAGCATCTGGAGATGCGATCACATAAAAACATAATGTCAATTGTATTCTATAATTGTGATAACATAATTCGTAATTCTTTTCTTTGTCCATATTTTTCTCGTTCAACAAATACATGGTTCCTGTAAGCAAATTGATGGTGGAAGTAGACGTGTTTAATTTTTAAAGCCTAGCATTAATATTGAATAGTAAACATTTAAACAGTCACTCAGTACGGTTCTCTTGAGCTTTAGACATCAACATTGATCCACAGAATCCAGTTACACCCCACAGCTCGCTAAATCGCAGTTTTCAAAGTTAACTTTAAATATCACACCCAACTTCATGTCCAGTGTCTCACTGCGCAAATGAGGAGCATTGTTCATCTCTATTGTCAACCAGAGACAAGTTGTGGAAATTCAACATTCCTATGCCAAGAGGCAATTTCACCAAATGAGAACCACTGTTTCCAGTAATGGTACTTATTTTGTCAACCTTGGAGGAACAACAGAATTAGTTAAGCTCTGATTGGGATTTGAACTCCTCAATCTTACTTTTCTGAAACTAGCGCTCGGTCACGGTACCATCCAGCCGTCTTAAAAATGTCAACATTCAATGTTTGGAGACGTATATATATAGTGCATAATGTGTCCATTGCAATATTTTCCAAAAGTTAAACTAGTCATATTCGGGTTTTTTGTGCGTCATCTTCCATAACCACAAAACTTGCAAAAACTCCTGGGGCCATCTTATTCACACATACAAAAACATTTTATTTTCCCCATTTATAAATACACACGTACAGTATTCAAAAGGCAAATGCTAATTTAAGCAACGATTGGCACAACTGCGTGCTCGCAAGTGTCGTGTCCAACTGTAATACAACACAGCTCCCCTCCCGCATGGGACCACCTGGCCTAAGGTCACAACATGCCCACGCTTGAGAATGAGCCGCTGAATGCACCCTTGAGATTGCTCGAGTCAAAGGCAGGTTAATAAACGAGCCGATAAGACTGCCCGACTGGTGCGAGGTCTCGCAGCATTACGAGAACCTTGTCAAGTTAACGTCTCATTTCGCGTGTGTATGTATTGCACAAACATTTGCATTTATATAAGGACCGTCAGTGGGGGTAAAATTTATTTTCTTAGCTATACACTGAGATTATTGCTAAAATTGTTTCATGCGTTTTCCCTCTCACAAAGATCCCCCGTATAGCCTGAACAGACTGTAGGGGCAAGTGCTGTTAGCGAGCACCTACGAAGGCCGGCACGACACACGAGGAGGTGGATGACCAGCACCACGCCCGGCCGCCTTTGTATCCCGAGTGGCGATGTTTACACACCGCACCAGGTACTCATTTGAGGCTGAGTCGACTTAGGGCAGGCCCAGGACCCGTTCAGATAATCGTCACTGATGTTGGCCATGAGCAGGAATCGAACTCGGGCCGCTGGGTTCATAGCGCAACGTAGCGCTGAACCACTACACTACTGCTCCCAACAAACACACACACACACACACGAGTAATTTACCTTTCTGTGAGAGTTGAAATAAATCTACATAAGTTTAACATTTTAATAAAAATGACCACTCGACTTAAAATGTTACATTTGCATTATGTTTTGCCTTCAACTATGTGTTGGACAAAAGTGAAAATCTTTTCCTTGCTCAAACAAGTCTGAGGCAGTACTCACCTCCATTTATCACCCTGAGCCAGCGGTGACATTCTGACCAAAGGAAAAACGCGAACTTCCGACAAAGTGGTTCATCAAACCAAATCGTGAGCCATTTGGCTCTGTCCCACCACAATCCGACTGAAGAGCAGTGTGCGGGCACCTGACCTTAAACCAAGTGGTTCCGTTTGGACGCAAGGTGCACCCGTTATGGACGGCTTACGACAATAACGCCACCGGAGAACACTTTGTAAACCCATAGCTTCACAACAAAAAACAATGGCGCAGATAGCTTTACCATCCCCTCCTGCTGCCATGCCTGCAGGTTTTGCAACTTCCGCTCCATGCTTTTTTTGACCATTAAGTAATGCCACTGGTGACTTGCAGAAGAGGCCACAGCTGGAGCAGGGAGGATGAATTAAACGTTACATAAATCATCATGCACAATTCTCCAATGCAGACAATTCCAATACTTGTCCACAATCTGCACACACATGTATAGCATTTTCACTTGAAGCGGAACAGTCCAGTATTAATGATCCAATCCTGTATGTTGATCGAATCATTTACAACATAATTTTCTTTACTCCCCTGTAAAAAAATGGCAATATAAATGGTTCACTTTGACTTTGCGCCATCAATGATCTGACCAATTACTCCTATTAGAAATGTTTACCCCTATGTAGACAAACATACAACTGATTAAGAAGACATTTTGTTTCGTCAGTTATTCTACTGGAAGTACATGCCTTTATAAAAGTCCGGCTGGTTTCTTTTTTCAAACGAGTGAGGCTACTGGTGGCCCTGGACCAGTTTGTTAAGATTCCGCGTTCGTTTGGAAGGGGCCAGTCCCTCAATATGACACCCACTGTTGAAAAGTACCGTTGTTTATAGAAAAGTACCGTTGCTGTAATTCTCAGTGCACGAACTTATAATATTGCTCCTTTACATGCCAAGCCCCATTTAGCAACACACATCTGAGGGATCTGTGACTCAGGAAATTCAACAGCAGTTCACAGATCAGCACGAAAGCCATCGAAATGTTCCCATCCTCACACAATCCAACACCAGGCTGCCCCCGAACAACCAGATCACTTTACAAGACATATTTTAGATCCCCTTACCAGGGGGGGCAGAAACATACCTTCAATCTCTTCTAAATAATACCAGCTCCCCAATTAACTATATCACATGGCCACAAGTTGGCTACACATGCCTGCTAGCTCCATACAATTTAAACAGATACCATGCATATTATCAATGCACCGATCAATGGCGTAAAAACACAACAGTATTCTCATACACGAGGGTGTACCAAAATTTGTCAAACTTAAAACTGACGTCTCAGCAATGTAATAGAAATGTAACAGTACTGCCGGTGCTAAAAGCACCCTGCTGAAGGCTTCACTTTGACACTCAGCACGATATTCAACTCGGTGAATATTTTTCGTGGCACATTTTCATGCACATGCTTGCTTCTGATTGGTGCAGGCTCTGCTCTCCTTGCTCCTGGTGGCCAATCGGTGAAGACCTCATGCGTACATGGTCAACTGCAGCCACTGTAAAGAGATGATGGGTTGTATTTACACAGTGCTTGAATGCATGTTACTTAAAAATGTGCGTTTTAGTGGAAACATCTTTGCAAGAACGGATACTTTTAACTTGTTTAATTCGGTGAAGAGCTTCAAGTTAATGCTGAAACCTATGGTGGTTGTGTTGGCTTTGCCTATAATGTTCAATTGTGTAGCATTTGTATCTTGTTGAGGAGTGAATTCAAATTCCAAGATTATTTTGATGCACAATTTACAATTGAAATAAAAGCACTTGAAAGTTATGTTGGCTAAAATGTGTTTTTACTCATTCCAGTGATTACTTTTTTCCATGTTGCTATACACTAGATACTGTTATATTGTCATCATTTTCCTTTCAGTGTATCGTGTGTTTGTGGTGGGTGTAAACCTTACCAAACCCAGTCCCAGTCTGATAACGCCACGTTTGTCTTTGTCAAGGGCATGGAATATTCCTGTGGCACACGGGAGAAGTGACCGCACAACATTTCAGCCAACCAAATTGACAACCTGTGAGTTTTTTGTTCTCAGCGGTGCTGGAAGTTCCATGCTTTAATTGTTAACATTTTCCATGAATTCATTAGTAAAGTGCGGTATTGAAAGTATCACCAGCTGTAGCTGCCCTTGTGTAAATAAGTCAATCGTTTTTTTTGTCTTATTTAATTGTACAACTTTTAAAATTTACAATTGACTATTGATGTAATTCACGTGAGAATATATTCCACTGTAAAGGTAATTTAAACATTTACCTACATTTTCAGGTTTTTGTTTATTAAGTATATTTATTTTAAGTCAATGTCTATGCTCAAATGAATGTGGGGCAGCACTCCTTCACTGGTGGCCTTGCACCAATGTGTCGGTGGTGTTAATTCCACCAACTGTTTCATGATACATAGTAATTATCTATGACCAACTAAAGAAACCCTTTGAAGTCGAGGTATATCTCAAATTGTTGACCTGTTTTCTTTCACAATGCGATATCCATTAATCTCGGTAGAAGTGAGGTGCTATTTTGGTGATCGTGGCACCCAAGCTATGGAACGTCTCGCCGTTTAAAATCAGGCAATCAGAGTCGGTAGATATATATATGTCTGTTTAACACGGAGGCTTTTGCGACCAATATCATCCATAATAGAGGTTTTTGGGTTAGATCACGATCTAACCCAAAAACTTCTTTTATGGATATATAAGTCTGCTTTGAAAACCCATCTCTTTAAACTGGCCTTCCCTCTTGAGTTTAGTCGGTTGCCCTGGTTCTGATTTTTCCCCTTGCTTTTGATGCATTGCGCATTGCGATCCTAGGATGGAATGCGCATTAGAAATTAGAATTATTATTATTGGACCCCTGAATAGGATTTTAACTTTGAAATTTCTATGGCAGCAACAACAGCTAGATTAGACATGACACACACACACATTTAAAATAAGCATGTAGCAATGTAAACAGTCCAAATAATTCCCTGGATAATACTCACTGAACATGGCCTCCAATCGCACCATACAGGTAATGTAGTCATTAAACTTGATGGTCATACTCTCGTCGGCGTAGCGCATGGTGATCAGCTGATACATCTGGTTGTTCAGGTGGAATCCTGTGTGAATTGTGGTGTTAGGAGGTAAATGCACAAACATGGGAATGTAAATTCAGTATACATATTCATTTGTCGACTATCAGTGCCAAATATGTGAGATATGAATTAAGGTGACATAAGACATTCATGAAACGTTACATAGACAGCCTTGGGAATATGCACGACGCCACACTGGAAAGTTCAGTAACGTAGCCTCTAATTCACCACATGTGAACCCATTAAGTGTAAGAAGGTTTATGAACCTCCGGTTGACCATCCAATTCCAAATTGGAGCAGCTGCCCAAATGTCCCCGCGCCCATATCTATCCATCTCACCTGCTGCATTGAGAGCTGCTCGCATTTCATACGACGACATGGTACCCGAACGATCCTCATCATACTTCCTGAAGATTGCCTGTAGGAAAGAGTAAATAAGATCAGTGTAAACAATGGCTATGCACACGGCTGGATGATACGCGGTTAATGCTCGTAACAAAAACCTGAGGTGAATCCACCTGCTTAAAATGAACATGCGGTAACGTTTACCTTCATTGGGAGTCCACATTTTTTTTATAGCAGTGGCCAGTTTTTTTCCCATGACATCAACTGTTGATTCCCTATTAAGTGGTGCACTTTTATTTTATTGAATCCAGAGAGATGATGAGTAATGTTGGCCCCTCAGCCAGGATATTAACTTATAGCCTTTTCCATTGCGAGTGGAGTGCTCTTGCCACAGGCTTGTTTAAACACCACTGCGGTTCCTTATTCACAACACCGCAATCTTGGCTAACAATCTGAACAAAACAATTATTGTATGGTAAATTTGATGGTGTCAATCAGTCACCATTTTCTGAAATATGTACCGCAATTGAGTCCAGTGTCTCCAGGCGGTGCGAAAATGTATGGATCCAACATTACTCAACGGGCCATATGTAATTCTATATGGGTGTAATGTAAGTCTATTGGCTCCATGTAAATCTGCTCTCTGAGAGGTCTGAATAGATGTGACGCTGATTGCACAATTAAATACAACGGGGAATAAAAAAAACTATATTTTCTCCCCACAGTTCACCCAGCCTTGCACCTCACCCTCTTCTCATCTAAATCGCCTCTTCTCCAATCAATACACTTTGAGCAACAAACGCTGGACGTCATGCCGAGCGACACGTGGCAAAATTATAATATGCTTCCCGCTAAACTTTATTCTCTTACATCACACGGGTCTACCCCCTGCTATATACTGCCATAGACAAACCCAACATTAAATTATATACCGTATTACTATACACCACACTATGTATTATTCTACCCACCTTACTGTATATCACACTGCTGTATATTCACTATACAATTACGATACTATATATTACTTCATACATTGTATTAAACATTACAATTTTATACTATTTATACAATATGCTATACACTATACCATTGACCATCGCGTGAAAGATACTAAAAGGAAGCAACGAAATATGTCAATGGGAGAGTGGTGGTAGGAGGCTTGCAGCGGAGCAAAGAAGACATTCCCTGCGGAGAATACAAGATATATTGTCAATGCCAGTGAGTGGACTGCGGTAAAGTGAGCGAATAAAGAGTGTCACTTTACCTGCCACATTTTGATTTTCTCCCAGAGCAGTTTAAATTCGGGAAGGCCGAGTTTTCCGCTTCCATCAGACTGGAGTGTAGCAGCAAGGTGAGGAAAATCATCACTCATAAATGCAACGCTCTTTCAATGAGTAAAGAGACAAAAAAGGTATTGTTCAGAGAACATCTGTGACCATAAAGCAGGGGTGGGGAACGTCCGGCCCGCGGGCCGTATGAGGTCCGCAAAATAATTTGGTGTGGCCCTACCAAGGCAACCGCAGGCGGGACTCGAAATTCAATAAATCTAGGAGCAAACCTGGAAAGGCAGTTGCGAGTAGCAACATCATCAATACCTGCTAACATCACACACCTCACCAAAGAGAAGCAGTTCCAGCCATCACATTAGGGGTGAGTTAATTAAATGTTTGACCAAATATAACAGGATAATTTTTAAGTTGATAAATTTGTACGGCCCGCGAATGATGTTATAATTATCCACATGGCCCTTGGAAGAAAAAAGGTTCCCTACCCCTGCCACGAATCATGACAAACTATTTCTCCAAGTAGTAACTTTCTACTAAAATACAATTCTTCCAGTTTCCTACTGTTATCAGCATAGATGCCTTTAGGTTGAGCCTTAAGCCATGGACTTTCAGCACTGCTTTCGTAACCTTGTCCCCATCCAACCTGGGGGTTTATATACAGACCTCTGATCCTTGGGGCCTGGCTCAAACTTATGGATCCAAGTCTCATTGTTGGTGATGACGTGTGAAAAAAACCATGCACCGCCATCATTTGGAGGCATCTGGCTGATATGGTGACAAATGCCAATCCTGCGTGATTTGTGGTGTTCTGTTAGGCCATATGTGACCCAACATACACGTTACACAACTTCCAAATCGTCACTAAGAAGTGATTCTCATGAAATATAGTCGAATTTAGCTGTCACTGAAATCAGGAACACACCACAATTGGCCTCTCATCCCCATGGGGCGATGAACCCCTTTAAAAAAATATCCTCTGCAAAGAAGCAATCAAAGATGTAATGTGAAATTAAGTGACACAACAAATGTAATTATTTTTAAACAGTGTAAAGTTAACTAGGCTGGGGCCATCAACTCACCACTTAGCCAGCTTGTTACTCAAAAACGGTGTTGGACATTACCGTGATGTCAGCTTACTACTCTAATAATTAAATTAGCTGCTTGAGACATCCAGACAGATACCTTGAACTTGCAAAAATCAAATCATGTCATGAGCCACTTATTTTTATTTAGGGTTAGAATCTTTTTTTTTTCCAGCGACTGCATTTAATTATCTTAAGGGTCCAGGATTGGGTAATGTCAAGGCCAGGAGGGGTCATACACACTGCACTCCCTTCCAGGGAGTATTTGTACATGATTCACACCCTGTGGGATAATCAAGACTATTCAGGGACGCAGGTAATGAAGTAACCATGTTAGAATGTCCTTGCCCTTGTTTACTTCACTGACAATAGCAGCTCTGAGGAATTTCCCCAGTCACTTGTAACAATTAAAAGTACATTGCAGGATTCAGTGTACTTTTAATCAAACACAGAACAACATACGTCCTATTCTGTATGTGGTAGATCAGGGATATGTGACTTAAACTCAAGTACAATCGCTTATCTTAGCCAATATTATAATTCAAAGTTACCTTTTTTGGGTTAGACCACAAGACCTTACCAAAAACTGGAATTTGTTCTTGAATTTATTTGAAATATAATCCTTCAGCATCTTTTATTACACAGCATGGGGAAAACTTTATCCAGGGCTGAAAAATAGCTGTGCAGTATCTTTAAATTTTTGCTGTCAGAAAAACACAATGAAAATAGGTCACAGCACCTGAAATCAGTTGTATTAATCATAGTTGACCGTTCTCCCCTGTGTGTGTGTGAGCTATTTTCTGGCCGTATACAAGAACATTTTATAATTTATAAACAACCCAAGCAGGAAATATATGTAAACTCAGTTGAGACTTTGCTGGACAATTCGCATTTCAATTCACAAATTACTTCAAGAACTGACTGGCAGATGACAATGAGAGGAGTAAAAAAATGTCACGATACTTTTATCCGGGTTAGATCGTGTAAATATAAATGTGTCGTTAAACCTGCCACCACCCGACACAGCCAATTAGTAAGGTTTGTCACGTGAACAGCACGTGCCAATTCGTTACTAGTACAGCACACCGGTGTGTTGGAGAGCAAATCCACAACATTTACAATCTGAGTACGACTTTTCGCCAGTAATTACAACTAGCTTCATCAGGCGGACAGTGACATTTAATGTTGTGGCTTGGCTCTCCAACACACCGGTGTGCTGGACTAGTAACGAATTGGCCACGTTCTGTTCACGTGACAAACCTTACTAGTTGGCTGTGTCGGGTGGTTGCAGGTTTAACTACACATTGATATTTACACGATCTAACCCAAAAAAACCTATATTATGGATGATATCGGTCGTGAAAGCCTACGTGTTAAACTCATATTTTTTAAAAATGACAATAGCATTTTAATTAATAGCTTTTTGTCAATTCGCCGCTGGATTGAGTCAAGGGGGGTTTGTGTGACCTTACTTTACTCTGCTCCTCAGTGCCAGTTATTGAAGGGGAATGCCCAGGATTAGTCCAGACATCAATATGCCACTGAAGTTAAGTCACGGGCCAGCAATGAAACTCAGGCCGCCGGGTTCGCAACATTCCCTCAGAACTGATTGTTGTGTTGAGTTTGTTGTCCTTCCCCCGCACCTCCGATTAGCGCGGTTGGCTACGTACGGTGCAAAAGAAGTTGGACACACATACAAACCACTTTGTCAGCGCAACCACCTAAGCCCTTTCACAAATTTCAATGTCACTGAACGCACATATTCACTTTAAGATGTTTTTTGTTCATGTTTTTGTTTTTTGTTTGTTGCGGTTGCACCCGATTCAAGAGCCGAATGGCTCACAGGGCTATACCTAATAAATGAACTTGAACTTGAACATACCGAGGCTTTTCCCACAAAAGCTTTGGAAAGGAATTGGTTAACACAAGCAGGAGTTTTTTCCCATTCAGGTTCAGTTACATGGGCAAGCTATTAATTAAGCGATCGATTCTCCAAACATCGGTGTGAAAGGGCATCCGTTTGGGAAAACAAGACATTTCCCCGGCTTGTGGCACGCAAGCCAAGAGATGCAATTTAGCGACACGTCCACTGCAGGAAAAATAGGAGGATTAATGTTCACATAAACCAATTACAGTCGCCAAAGGATACATCCATGAGGGCAACCATGCTCTGGCAGGCGTACAAGCTGAATCCGTCGGACTTGAGCTCGCCATCTGGCCCACACAAAGACAAAGATCCCCCGTATAGCCTCAACATGCTGTTGTGGAAAGTGCTGTTAGCGAGCACCTATGAGAGCTGGCACGGCACGGGAGGGGGTGGGTACGCCAGCACCACGCCCGGCCGTCTTTGTCTCCCCCAGTGGTGATGTTTACACACCGCAGCAGGTACTCATTTGAGGCCGAGTAGACACTAGGGGAGGCCCAGGACTGGTTCAGATAATCGTCGCTGGTGAGCGGGAATCGAACTCGGGTCGCCGGGCTCATAGTGCAGAGCGCGAATCGCTACACTGTCGCACACACACAAACGCCACCACAAACCCATCATCTTTGGCCAGCAAAACCCTTGGCATATCTATAATTGCAGACGTGTCGCCGTTATTCACGTTAATTTGGACCGCCATCCACCCCCCCCTACCCCCATAAGAGCAGCGGCGGGCTGAAGAAAAATTGCCGAAATGATTGTGAATTACACGCGGTAACAAAGCATTGTAAAAATACAGCACGAGATAATAGTGTGGATGTACATATAAATTGCGCCAGAGATACCAGGATTGATCATATTTTTTAGGTGTATTCCGTGAAACCTATTTAAACCAGACAACTAGATAGCTTGCTTCGTCGCAGTGAATGCTGTGCTGTGTTGATACCATTTGCCTCACATTACACGAAGAGCGTGAAATGCATACCGCTTAACTAAATAATAAACACGACTCCGTGTGTTCATTCGCAGCTTTGTCAACACTTAGGTATAAGGGCATATGCTTGAGCGGTTTAAAATATTTGCATGTACATATAATGTACAATAAGATCATATTTATACGTAGTCAATGATCAACGATAGGTGTCGTACAATCATAGTGTGCACCATTGCGATAATACCTTAGGCCACACTTGAACTGGTCATACGCATGATGTCGAAACAAGCACGTGCAATGTGATGTTGTTTTACGAGGCACATGCATAACATGCCAATCAATTGAGCCTCAATGGCATAGTTCATCATCTTCATCATCAGCAGCAGCCCTTTGTCAATCCACCGCTGGATTAAGGCCTCCCCACACCATGTCAGTTGCGGAGGTTGCTTGACGACACTGAGTCACTCTGGTCAGTGTGGATCCGTCAATGGGCGGGGGAGCCCAAGACCAGTTTAGATACCACTCGCCAAATGATGTTAACCGTGGCCAGGAATTGAACACAGGCTGCCAAGTCCAGTGGGTAGTGCGTCGATGACTGCGCCGCCACTCCCCACACGCACATCGATTATACTGATGCCAATCTGGTACCGAAGCGTAATAAGTACATGGAGTTGACTATGAAATATACAAGCGGTTTCAATTAAGCTTGCACTCTTTAGCATTGATAGAATAAGATGTAATGCAAATATTTCAATTTTTAAAAGGGGGAAGCAATATTCTGCCCATAATGTTTAGTAGTTATGCAGGCTTGTGTGATTGCAGTGGACGTAATTCTTGGAATGTCCGAGTCAGAATGAAACGCTGTGTTGAGTGATGAATACTTTTTGTGAAATAAATACATCAGACTCACCTAAACCGTATAGATTTCTACACATCAGCAATTACAATAGCCAATTGGAATTGCGGTTGTTTATTTTTTTATTAATATGAAAATGATAGTGAATTTTATGCAGATAATGTACGTGCATTTTAAGAATTGGCTGTTATGACACCCACAAACATTACAATTTTTGCGAAACAAAAATCCATCCACATTCAACTTGCAATACAATTCTAACATTGAAAGCATCACAGAAATACGTTTACATCTATCGCAACCTGAAAAGTGAGTTATCCCATATGGACACATATGAACTCGCAATATTATTACAAGGTACCACATGCGGCAATAGTTTGTGACTCCGCGAACATTATAAAAAAACACACAGGGATCTTTTCCTTGAAAGCATTGCCCATAACTTCCCTCCAGAGTCGAAGCGATCAACCCTACCAAAGGTGGCAATGATATCCATCTGCAGGGGCGGTTTCTTCATTAGGGCGATTGGGCGACGCCCCACCAATGTGTGAAAGGGACTTTTTCAATCACATTAACAATCTCATTCAACCACAGAGCTATGCTAGCCGTTACTGTGCCTCTGGATATAGTCCAATCAGCGTCATGTCACGTTCTGTGGAGTACCGCCTCTTTTTGGGCGATTTCACTCCGGCTGAGAATCGCCCAGAGTGTTCCCATAGACTTACATTCAAAGATGATTTTTTTCGAACGGCGGGCGCTGCAATGCATTCTCTATGGCTTCCGGGAGGGCTCGCACTAACGTGCTTACGTCATCATACGTAAGCACGTTTCATCCAACAATATTATTTGTCGCCACCTAGTGGAATCTTTAATAAAATAAACTGAGTGAATTGTATTAATAGTGAGTATAGAAACAAACAAGATGTATTGTAAGAGTCACTTTATTTTTCATTAATATTAAAGAAGTGAAGTTGCCTTTACATGCTTAAGCTGTTAATTTATCCATTGCATGGGTGGACCTTATCCTTATCAATCATCCAGACATTTGCCCCCCCTGAGAGATTTTGCAGGAGCCGCCACTGTCCATCTGTCTCACTCTCCTTAGGAGCACCTTGCGAAGGATTGAAAAGTCACGGTAAAGTCCGCAGTCCTTAAATAGCTATGCAGCCATCCTAAACACCTCCTTGCTGCTGGAATTTAAAAAAATCGCTTTTCTTTCATTGAAGCAGGTAAGAGCCTACTGATTAACAATGACAAATTTTCAATGCTTTCAATGGATTACTATGGAAGAAATGTTCTAATGTTATTATTTTGAAAAATGTTGTTGCTGTACTGTAGTTGGGGTCATGTTCACTTTAGGCATTTCACTCAAATGAAATATGGGGTGGCAGATGACCATTCATGATGAGTGCCAATTTGTCCACTGGATGACCACTAACGATTTGCCACGTTATCCCGACTGTGGAATCAGTGTCACCTCATGATACAAAACAATCAAATTTAGATATCTCTCAGAGCAGTACAAATCTCTCTGTTAGAAAACACATACAGAAGCAGATATCATGTAACTATTTCTCAAATTTATTTTAACTACCTGTGGTTCACACATTCTTGCCCACCCTGCTGCAGAGTAGTGTTTTTTGCACGATAGTTAATCCGATATTTTTTAATTATTAGAGGTGAAATTTAGCCAAATTAATTAAAGACTGAAACTTAATGTGTAGTCATTGGTGACCTGGATGAGACCATCAAATTACTACACTTGATAACTCAGTTTAATCACAATTGAATGCTGAATCTCAGTAGCGTTCGTTCAGAAATCTGCTCTTGGCGCCATCCAGCTACCTCAAGTGGGTACTAATTTTATCTACCATGAAGAGATGATAGGCTAAGTTGACCCCCAACCAAGATATGAACTTGAAAACTTCTGATTTAGACCCAAACACATTAGCCACAAAGCTAACCAGCATGCATGACCTACCATATATAGTGCAACAACATGATTACAGCTTTGAGAATCCATTCATTTAAAAAATCTGTCAACTTTGCCCTGCAAACAGTTTCGCACAAATTAGTAGCGCTGCAGTATGCTAATTGCATATATTCCAATATTGCAGATGCACAACGTGCACGATTGTATAACACAGCACCAAATGCACAGCAACAAGCGGAACAATCCCAAGGAAAAGAGGATTCGTACAGGCAATTAAAAAATGCACGTCCATTCCCCCCCCCCCCTCACACATGCAAATTATTTAAATTTCCAAACAACTAAAGAATCATACGGGGCTGTGAAATATATCAATTATTTAAAGCCACATCCAAATGTTAAATAAAAAAACGCGCTATATCGTGTTCAAATAAAGGACACCGAATTGAAATACATGAATTATACATTTTGGGGCCAATGAGATATATAAACTTTGTTGCCACCGCGACGGGTGTGAATGGTGCGACCATGAAATTGTAACCACGCCAACGGCCGTTTCTCACCATTGATTACCATTCTGGCCATGGACATGGGTGGTGTACATGTTTATCGGCCAACATTTTGGCACGAGGATGTACATCGTTTTTACGAAGCAGCAATGAGTATGTTTTTTAAAAAGAAGCAGGTACTGGCAGCCTGGCATCACCCTTCAATTGAGATTCAAAGCCAGGTTTTCTGTTCTTTTGCACATCCATTGATTCACGTGACGATGTTTTTTTTCTCATTTATAAACATTTGTTAATGTGTCCAAAAAAGGGGGATTAGATCGTCGGTTATCGTGAGACCAGCAGCAGTAGTGGCAACCGATGCAAATAAAACATGTTATAATCATTATATTGTGCTGTTATTTATTAAGTTTAAATGAGCTCGACATATAATATTTTGAAGAGATGGAAATCACTTTTACTTGCAATGTTTTATACCGTGAGAACAATTATAATATATTTCTCATCATTTACAGTACTTTGTTAATCCACTGCTGGATGAAGGCATCCCCATGCCGTGTCGATCATGAGAGTCGTTTGACCATGCTTGGCGATCCAGGACCAGTTCAGATGTCGTTCGCCACTGCTGTTTGCCGCAATCGGGAGTCGTACTCAGGTCGCCGGATTCAATCGTGCAGCGTGCTTACCACTGTGCCAACATTCCGCCCAAATGCAGTGTAGACACTGAAACGGCTAAAAAATTTCAGCGAGGTATTTTCTGAAACTTGTGACTGGCACAATGCCCAGGAGATGTCACGGGGTTCACAGCCGATCTATCAACTCTGTAAATTATGAGATGCCCAATGGTTGTTCAAATTACGTCATATTGCTCATATCAAAATAACAAAGTCAAAATGGCTTCCACATAAAATGAGCCCAGGCTGGTGATCATCTCTGCAAATCACCCCGAGTAGGTGGTGCAAATTCTACATTCCTATGGTGGGTGGCAGTTTAACCATGAGGACTAGCAATGTTGATTGACCACAAAGTGTTGACCCCAGATGGGACGATGAAGTGAGTCAAAATGCCGGATGGAATTTTAACTCTCATCCTTCAGATTTGTGAGTCGGCTGATCTAATCACCGTGTCCACATGGCCATAGAATTTAAATGTAATTTACTAATTAGAAAAATTTATTGCAACTTCTGTTCCCTGTGGAGAATTAAATATTTAATGTGCATGGGGTTGGGTGTCAAAAGACAGAAATTACCGGAGCATTTGCACACTTGTAAATATTATAATTCATACTGCTATGCTTGTAGCCATCGAGTAAGTAAAACAATATCAATGATTCATTATATTTCGACACCATATCTCTCACAAGGTGACAGCATATATATATTGCCAATCTGGATTAAAGATAACCGCGTGACCTATTTAAATAATTTAGCAGTTGTAACTGAAATAAAGTCATCGAAAATCCAGACAAAATAGGTCAGAGCATTTCACGACGGCATTCATCTCTGGCATCTCTGCTGGGGCCGCGGGAAAGTAAAGGTCAATCCGCGCAAAACAAATCTGATATTTCCAGCAGTCAGCTTGGCACCGTGCTGTGAGATATATTGCGTAACGTTTAGAAAAAGGATGCATCGGTAAACTCACGTTTGGCAGTAACTTTGTTTAAGAGGTCCTGCAGTTCCCTGGGGCTGATCTCCATGTCCTGTGAGACAAGACAACCGGGGGCGGGCGAACGACGATGAGGGCAGGCATGGCGGCATGGGGCCAGAACATGCCCTACTGGCGCGCCCATTACAGAAAGAGTCTGAAGCGCAGAACGAATTAGTAGTGCAAGCATCTAGCAGGGTTTCTGAAACTCGTGTGGTGAAGAAGAGGGCAGTGTTCCCCAAGCGCCCTGGCCCGTCTGCGTTCACCATTTACGTGATCCGACGTTTGTTCAATTATTTAAAAAAAGAACAATTGTGATTCTGGTGCACAAGCACATATGAGAAAATATTAACCCGTAAAAACAAAGTTTTTCACTATAAATCCTTTTTATGCGTGGCATCGGTTTTATTTTATTATTCATTTCTGTTTTTCTTGAGTAAGAGTTTCATTTTTAAATATGAAAAAAAAAATTCCTAAAAAGTGGAAAAAAATTTTGACGAACATAAATTGTCACGCACAACGAGTCTGTGTGCAAAATGTCAGCTCGATTGGATCACGGGAAGTGGGTTAAAAAACGACCGAAAGATTTGCACGGTCGTAAGCGCGCAAGCAAGCACGCAAGTGAACTTAATATAAAGGATTTAATAATACAACACGTTCGTCAATAACTCTGTGGCCCTAACAAGAAAAACAAATATAACAGGTGAGGTTCCGGACAATGACCCTTCTCCAACGATGTATCCCGTCCAAGGCCACTTACTTTTCTTCAGTAGATTTGAATTCGTTTCCTAAAGTACAAGCATCCCTTGGCATGTCAGTGTCATTCTGATCATGCACCTCCCCACACTTCTTCGTGCATGTTTAATCTCTTGTTCCATTTTCTTTGCCCGTGTAGCGACGTTTGTAACAAATAAGGAATAAATGGCAATACGCAATGATTGAAAACTTTATTCTTCAGAAACGTTGGTATTCTGCCCTTCATTGTCAAATTCAGCTTTCCAGAGGTGGCCCAATTGGCTCAGAGATCAGCCAATGTTGTTAAGCATTTATAAATGAATAAGTAACATCGGCTGGCTTACAACAAACACCAGCAGCAGCTGGAAACATTATAGGGACTCCTCTACTTATGAACGAGGTATGCTCCAGAGGTCTGTTTTTAAGTCGATTTGTTCGCAAGTCCAAATTTACTCCTGTCGATTCCAAACATGTTGTACGGCATGTACACTAAACACGGGGAATGGATTTAAACGTTTTATAATCTCCTTTAGATGTAGATGCCACTGGTTCGTCATTTTCTGCAGATGTAGATGCCACTGGTTCTTTATGTTCTGCAGATGTAGATGCCCCTGGTTCTTCATGCTCTGCAGATGAAGATGCCGCTGGTTCTTTATGTGCTGCAGCTGTAGATGCCACTGGTTCTTCATGTTCTGCAGATGTAGATGTGGATTCCCTTTGGTGCTCGTGTTTCCTCTCTACTCTCTTGAAAAACTTACCAGGAGATGTCTGCACACTTGCTCTCTTCTTCTCTTCATAAATCAACTTGTAACAGGCAATAGCATCGTGAGCAGCTGCCGACACCTTAGTAAACCTCTTAGTGTTTGGGTCCTGAGACTCAAAACAAGCCGGTGCTTGACACCGAATAACCACCGCCATCTATTGCGCGGCGGTTGAACTTATGTCTCACGGTCCGAACAGGCAACTGGATAGACAGATTTGTTCGTATCTCTGAAAGTTCGTAAGTCGGGTGTTCGTAAGTAGAGGAGTTCCTATATATAATCGAGCGAAAACGATGGATACCCCTTTCAGTCAATGGACATGCAGTTAACGTCGGATGGCATGCCGAACAACATGTGGTACAACCCAAAAACAAATACAGTATGATTGTTCAGATTTCTCAATACACTCCATTACTAAGTACTCTTTATTTTAAACAGCTAAGTCTGTTGAGATGCGTTACCTCGACAAATTGTGACATGACAGCCCATAGACCCTAGAGGGAATGGTGGGCTGTCAACCCCATAAACCAATCTTTCAATTGTTGGTTTAGAACTCCAACCATAGTGTCACCCAGCCATCATCATACACTCAGAAAATAAACACAGAGTAGGAAAAAAATCTCTGTGCGTTTTCGTACTGTATATTTGAAGCAGCACATTGTGTGTTTAAGCCTATAATGTGAGCATCGGTAACCACACAATGAGGCTACACAATCTCGGCTCAACATACACTGCCAAACAATACTCCCAAATGGTCTCCTGAAACCAAATGTGGGACCTGCTCTCAAGTAAATAAGTGACAATGCATGCAGTTGAGAATGGTTTAAGACGAGTCGTGGGGTCAACAGAATACACACACACTTACAAAAATCTATTTAAACGAGCACTATTTAAACTAATTCATGCATTGACTTCCTAATATAATGGAGCCGACGGTCTCACTGGCATTTGGCTAATGTTGCAAGCACCCTCGTTTGAAATACTTTTGCGACTGACATGCAAATGGGACAATGCACAAGCACACAGAGGCAGATTTGTGCACGGCGTGTCACTCTAACCTCTTGCCTATTCCCACTCAAGTGAGAGAGAGATGTCTCCTGTTTTTTACAATCACCGCTCGTTTACAAATGGCTGAGGCAACGTGCATTTCGGTTGAATATTGAGCTTCAAGGAGAAATAACGCTCAGGATCCACCAGACCCTTTGTTGAAGGGCCTGTGTGTGTGTGTTTTTATGGAAACACTAACCAATTCTTGCCATTCCCACCTGGGAATTACCCGAACAAGAAGGGTGACAGCGGCAAATTAACCCGCTGCACATGGGGGTTAAAGTAACAAGGCAGCGTGCGTTCGTCTTACGGGTACATTCGTGAGGATGTTGCTTAACGACAACAAAAAAACCGAGAATCACAGTTGAGATTTACATCGCAAAGATTGAACCAGAGGTGTTATTGTTCTACAAACTGCCAAGGTAAGCCCGCAGTGTTATATAAACCCTCAACGATGAGAGGAATGGTGCTCATGATGCAATGTACTCAGCATTGCATGTCACCTTTAAAAAATAATAAACATCACAAGCATTGTTAACTTTCGTCACATTTAACCCGAAGATAGCGAAGCACGTCGTGTGACTGCATTCTCCTACTCAAGCCAAGACGCTGCCAGTTACACACGCAATCACTTGCAAGTTTAAGTCACGTTAACAGTAACCTCTAATTACAAGTAGCAACAATTACAATTACATTCTAACTCGGCATTAATGATGTTTGTGGACGTATTTTCTAAGTGTGAAAGTTAATTATTCTAGCGAGAGTGACTAAAATTAGAATTGGTATAATTAGCAATTAAAGAATGTGACGAATACTTACGTCAACTTCAATTAGTTTGTTTTACGTGTCCAAAATTTTGAATTCTAGCGACCAAAATAAATGCCACTTCGCCACCCCACCCACTCGTTAGACTCTGACTGTCAGCAATGACTACAATACACGGGAGTGCAATCAACCCCTAACAAGTCAAACGTCAACGTGTCTGCGTGTTGCTTCATCTCCTTTGGTGGAGGTCCTGAGCCATCAAATACAAATGACAACTGCCGTTGACTTCTACCAAGCAGAAGCCATTCTATTCAACGCAGGCTAATGTGGCCGAGTCAACCACAGTTTGAACTTTCCACCTGAACTTTTAGTGCAGCTGTACTTGGCCCAATGTGTTGTCAGTAGGACTGTGTGTATGTCTGGCAGAGTAAGGCCAAAGACAGCTCCCTCAAGAGAGGGTATAGGTATAGTGGAGGCTCTTGAACGAGAAATTGCAGGGCTGTATTTTTACATTTAACCCGAAGTTAACATACTTCGTATGCAATTTAAAACACCTCCTGGAACACCGTGTCAAAAATACATTGGTGGATCTTTTTGTTTGTTTAATTTTTTCACTTCCAGCTTGGTGCACGCCGTTTTAATTACTCTCCATTCAGAAACGCTCACCTGGCGTTAAACGGAATACGATTTTTAGCTAAGCAAAACACTTTGTGTGGGGGCCCACACCCCTCCCTACTGCCATGACACGATATTGGAATTCGGGACGCGAAATGTGTCGCTGTGCTCAGAGTGGCGAAGCAGCGTTTATTAAAAAAACACTCTCTACATGGCGACGATTAAGCAGCAGATGCGATGAGTGGCTGGAAGTCAGCAAGGTCAAGGCTGCAGGCTCATCATGTCTTTGAGCGTTGCTTTCCTGGCCGACTTTAATTAGCAACCAGACTGTTCGGACACAGTAGATGTAGCAGCACGCTTGGGCTGTCCGGCCTGTGACCATACCAAGTCATGCAGATTATCTCCAACAAAAGAGACATCATTATTTATTTAAGGCAAGTGATAGCAGCACATTGCTTCCCAACATCATTGCCAGCCATGGTCTAGCCACCGATGGATGAAGGCCTACCCCACACCTTAACTGTCCCTCACAGGCTTGCAATGCCACAATTGATTTCATCCCCGCACCTGAACCAAGCTCACTGCTCAATTTGGCTGGCATTCAGTCATCAGGCTTGCCGACTCCTTATTATCCTTACTGGATATGTGTCCTGCCCAAATCCACTCATTTTGTTTCATCATGTTGATCCAAATCTGCTTTCTGTAACTGACCTAGATATAAATATAGCTGTGTTTTCTAGTCATCTTTAAAACAATTATTTAATTTTGATTGGCCAACTTTCTGAACGTTAGGTTTGTTCCATTCCTATTTGAATGAAACAAAGTCTAACTCTGGTGCCCTCTTTGTGAAGTTTCTCAATTGTCAAAAAAGCAGGACCAGCTGTTGAAACAGAATTATTGGACCAAGTTACGAAAACTTTAGTACAGAGATGTAATGCCTCGGCCATGGAATGGTGCCTCAATCAATCTTCTCTTGAAAAAGGAGGCAAAAACGGAACTGGAGATATATACGGACCCATTATTCTCCTACCACACAAACTGTACATATATTATTCATAAAGATTGTGGGGGGGGGGGGGGGGGGGAATAAGTGTACATTTTACAGGCCAACCAAGCATGTCAGTAAGCTGGATTTATTAAAGGGTTTCTACCATTGAACACTTACTATCAACCAGAGCCTGGGAAAAGCACACGACTATGAAAAACCATAATACTCGGCTTTCATCTACAGGGCTCTGTAGGCACTGTAACAGCTCATGCAGTTGTGTAATCATTGTATCCAGCACCAAATCTACAAAATAACGTGCATTTCTAAAGCATGTGAATGTGACCACAATGCAAATTGCTGAACATGTGTGTCATGGAGTCTAAACTATTAAAAAATATTTTTTTATTTTACCAGGTAAGGCCTACTGAGCTGTATGGCTCTTTTTCAGAAGCGACCTGGCCACAAATGACAGCTCAACAAAGTGGATTATCATATGGACATCTCCAGCAGCCAAATACTCTAAGGACATGTTTCTAAACGTAGAGGGGAAAGGCGGAGGACCCGGAGAAAGATCCACGCGACCACGGGGAGGAGAACGTGCAATCCTCCAAATATACAGCGGGTGACAGGGTCGGGATCGAATCCACGACCCCCTGCATACCAGGCGAGGTCATTGACATCTCGCCAACGAAACAAGGGAGAGAAAAACAACACTACTGCCAAGGTGGATTTAAAAGGAAATTTAGTGTGGCGAGGGAAGAAACATGACTTTACAGAAATTAACTACAAACAAGGGGTGGGGTACGGAGAAAACAGTTGCAGGCAGATGAGAAGAGGAACAGGTCTCGGGTCCGCGCGGTCTCCTCTTTAAGTGCGATGTACCCACCTCGCCGGCCAGCTTCTTGAAGACCTGTGTAAACCTCCGGTCCTCGTCCGTCTCCACCAACTCCACGGGCATGCTGGGCTGCACCGCCAGCACAGGACACACAGGTGGACAGTCTATCGTGCAACAAAAACACAACACCACCACTTTCGTACGGGGGACCTCGTGATGATGGCGGAAAGGGTTCCCACGGAGACGCAAACGTTGAGAGTTGGAAATTACAGCGCGGTCACCGATCGGTGGGGGCAATGAGATGTCGCGGCGGTTCGCGAGTCAGCGCCATGAACGCGGAAATCTGAGTTCGATGCCTGGCCACGGCTAACATCGGTGGCGAGTGGTATCCGAACCGGTCCTAGGTCTCTGCACACTTCACCAATCCGCTCTGAGCTGCGTAGAGTCAATATGGCCAAACGTCCCCTGCCATCGGCGCAGCAGTTGTTCATCCAGCAGTGGTTGAAAAAAGGCCGTAACTTTAGTTTTTTTTATTTTATCAACGTTCTTTGTTTTACAGTATATCAGATCAGCGTTTTCTTATAGCGGAGGCCAGCCTATTCATGGGAAAACCATTGTCAATATGAGGTGATTAAATTATGCATTAAAAAATCCCTTTAGTGCTATGAGCATCTGTTAATTGGATTTAGAAAATATATAGGCAATGTCTCCATGCACAACAGAACATTTGGCAATGTTCAAATCTCCTTTGGTGACCCCGAGTTATCGGTAGAGAAACCAAGGTGCAGTACATGTACCTGTGTACATGTGTACATGTACAGCAACCTTTATGTCAATACACCTCAAAGTGAGGGCCTTCCCACGCCACGCGGGTCATGGAGGATGTGTGACCATACTCTACCACGATGGTCAGTGTGGGTTGGCGGAGACAAGGAAGGGAGCAAAGAAGTAGAGTACAACAATGGATTTTGCTGCACTTCCCTCAATGCTGCCCCACATCGTATAAAACCTGCTCTGCATGGTGGTGTTTGTTGATCCGAACACTATCCAGGTTCAACCCTGCTTTCACTTTTAATAATCTGATAAGTAATGTGCTCAGCGACAACACGGCAGCAATTAGGGCCACAACTTGCAAGGAACAAAACACCAGGGACATATCATGGGAAGAATACAATCTTCTAATAGCAGGAGAGGGGAGTACTCCACGTGAATGCGTTGTCTTAAGTGGTGGCTCATTTTGATTTAAAGCTTTCGTGACTGCAGGGATTCATATTCTTGGTTCTTTCGGTAAAGTCACGTATGAGGTGATGAATTAATTATAGTTTTATATTTATATAACTTTATTATTTCCCTTCTACGTGATTTTACCGAAAGAACCAAGAATATGTTGGCTTATTATGCAGCTGACAAAACGCAGGGATTCTAATGTCCTGGGAAGACTGCCATATATAATACAGGATAGCTGTCTCAAAAAGAGGACAATCATGGGAAAACCAGGAGAGATGGCAACCCTCGTATCAAAGTCGACCACTAACAGGCTGACTGTTTTTTATCATTTGTACATGCATAAACCAAGGTCTTTGGCATCTATTTTTGCATCTCGGAAAGGCTAATGAGACACACGAGGAGGGGGGGGGGGCGGTCGGGGCACAGAGGGCATATGGGTGGAAAAGAGAGATGGTAGCAAAAGTGAAATTAGAACCGAGATCTATCCATAGGACATACATTTAAAAAAATATTTCCGTCTTGACTATAAACAACTGGATGTTAATAAATGTGCTGCACATGTATATCAAGTTAATTACACCACTATTACCAGTAGACCTGTTTTACATCCAATTATCCGGATGACTTGTCTTCGCAGTGTAAAAACTAAAACTAAAATATCAGTACGAGAGATAAGCTAATTGGGACATGACTGAAATAGTACATATATACATTTTGCATACACATTTCATAGTGTTTATGTACATACTATGTAATCTGTGAAAGCCAGACATGATTAATTTGTGATGTTTGATGAAAAAAAGCAAATCAACTCAGCGGTACAAATGCGCACATTAATTTTGATTCAATTATGCTGTGCATCGATTGGAAGTGAGGCAGGTCAAATTCCAGATGGAGGTTGACATAGGGCACCATCCCTTTGAGGTTGATACAAAAATACTTGCCGCTTGCTCCATAGGAATCCAGAACATTAGTGAGGTGGCTGAGTGGAATTGCGTTTGCCAATGCCCCCGGATATTACTGTCGGTCCGTTCAAATATACGCGCCCTCCGCATCAGCGGACGTTAAATTAGAGTAGGCCCAAAGAGACTCGTCACGGTCAAATTACTCGCAAATGACTTAACTCGAATAACCTACTGACAAACGAATGATCGCTTCCAGGCCTGTGCTCCTTCACCGTTTCCACACACAGGGACAGCTGTCATCAGCGGGGCTTCCTAAGCTAAGAAAGAAAATAACTACAGCTGGACATTGGAATGATGGAGATGTGATGCTATGTAATGCTGGAGCATTTAAGTTCCTAAGAGGTCAAAATCCTGATTCCTTACCACTGGCCCAGGGCCACCAACAGCACAGAATTCATTTGAATCTTGCTTATGGACACACTGTCATATGGGAATTGTTTACGCAAGTCAAATTGTCCCTATACTCGAATATTTGGCAATCCTTATCTCTATTTCCAGAATTCAGTTCACTCATAGGACGGACGAATCGCAGTTGAATACAGACCACATATTGCTATTTTTCCATACATTTTAAACTATACCATTGTAAACAACACCATTGTTCCAAACATTACAAAGCATATTCATCACACGAAGAGATAACACAGAACCCCCACCTCTTCAATGTTGGCACCAATTCTGTCGTCCGACTCTCTGTTGGGAAACAAAAGCAGTGGTTATGATCGTTGGAGCTGGGCACTGTTCCCAGGACCATCTGTCCTGTGAATGTTTGAGCGAGTGTCCAACCCAGGAAGCCTCTTCGTGTAGCAATGCTTTCAGTGTGACCATACACCTGGCTTATACAGATGCCCGGAGTTTCTACTCTCAATACGTTTGTTCAAAGCATCTCCTCTGACCTGCTTGAAGGCGCCTCTGAATATTGGCCTTCCCTAGCCGACAGAACTGTGTTGCCCTCCCGCGTGGTGCTCTTTTGTTCAGTTTCACCCGTAAGGGGGAGAAACTACTCATTCCAGTTGCGCAGAGGACCTACCAATTACAGTCGTGATTGTTGTCGTTATTACGAAAGCAAACTTTAATTACAGTCTTAATGGTTGTAATTAATATCCATTCTTGTGACGAAAGTCATTATTACTGTCCTGAAATGTAATTGCAGTATTACTGTACCATCGAATTTCTTACGTAATTGTTGTCATCATTACTGTCACCGTCATCATCATAGTAAAAATAATCATCAGCCACGTTCTATCCATTGCCGGATGAAGACCTCTCCACTTCGCAACCACCCCCGCACCGTAACTGGGCTGAGACCACCAACTCGTTACACTTGGGAAGCTGCTTTCATCACAGATGACCGAGGTCAAGGTTCAAACTCAGGATTCTAACCAGCTCCGACTTAGTGTCCAGAGTCACTCGCCTACAGCACAGTGCTCACGTTTTGCAGATGGACTGCTCCCCCACCCCGCACCCCCACCCCCCCTGTGCAGGGAACGTGTCCTACATCTCACTGCTTTGCTTCGCAGGAGGGGAAAGCACGCTTCCCAACGCAGTGTTTGCTGGGGCTGGCCACGCACCTCGATCTGTTCATCTTCTCGCAGTAGACCCGGAGCAGGAAGTCGGCCTCCTGATGCGGCTCGTACGTGGACGGCACGATGACGTAGTGGCCGGGCGGCAGGCGGAAGCGGTCCGACACCTCGCGCAGGTTGATGAAGTTGTGGCTGCGGGCGCGCGAGGAGTTCCGCACAAAGAATTCCCCCGGCAGGTGCGTGCACCCGGGCGGCGCCTTCAAGGGGATCGGGGACGGGCGCGGGCGTGGGTGGGACCGGAGGCCCGAGATCGATTCAGCCGTAACGTCATCAACCTTACGTATGTGTATTTTAATTTCCAATGTTTTTTTTGGTTTGTGACTTGCTTACCTTTCCTACACGCTGTACTCCTGTGCGTTTTTGTATTGTTGATGTGACTTTCTGGCTCACCCCGGCTGGACATCTGGGAAAAGGGGCTTCATAGCTCGTCGGATGCCTCCGGCAGTCTAAATGAAAATTCTGACTCTGAATCCCGCTCACGGCCAACGCCAGTGACGATTATTTGTGCCGACGCCGGGCCTCCCCCTAGGTCGACTCAGCCTCAAATGACTACCTGATGCAAAGTGTAAACATTGTCACGAGGGAGACAATGGCGGCCGGACGTATGTTATGGCCACCCACCCCCTCGTGTGCCGTGCCAGCCATCATAGGTGCTCGCTAACAAGGGGATCTTTGTCTTTGTGTGTGTCTGTGCATCTGTGCGACCGAGTGGCTCACCTCGTAAATGGCGTAGCCGATGGTGAGTAGGTCTCGCTTCTGACGCCGCATGTTCTTTTGCATGAGGGCGACGATGAACGAGCAGGCCACCTCATCGTCATCCGGGTCATCGTCCTCCTCGTGCAATCGCAAGTGGAACTGTGGGTTGGTCCAGAACGTCCCTATGGGTGGTGACACACACACGCATACCAGAGGTGTGGACTCGAGTCATGTGACTTGGACTCGAGTCAGACTCGAGTCATGAATTTGATGACTTCAGACTCGACTTGGACTTGCATAACAATGACTTTGTCCCACCTCTGAGATGTGGACTCGAGTCATGTGACTTGGACTCGAGTCAGACTCGAGTCATGAATTTGATGACTTCAGACTCGACTTGGACTTGCATAACAATGACTTTGTCCCACCTCTGACGCATACACACGCAATGTCTTTGTGCGTGTCTGTGCATCTCTATTTAAGGAACAAAACGGGAGAATTTCTCCACAAATCCGCCTGATGAAGCTAGTTGTAATTACTGGTGAAACGTCGTAACCAGATTGTAAATGTTGTGGATTTGCTCCCCAACACACCGGTGTACTGTACTAGTAACGAATTGGCATGTTCTGTTTACATGACAAACCTTACTAATTGGCTGTGTCGGGTGGTGGCGGGTTTTATGACACATTTATATTTATGCGATCTAACCAAAAAAACCTATAGTATACACATAATGTCGTCTCATACACACACACACGAGACAAAAATCTCCGGCCACACTCCTCGTAAAGTGAGGCATCAGAGTGATGTATGGCGTTTTGAAAATTCTGGTGGCATAAAAACGGCCAATAGGTCCATATCCTTGTTTCTTATTCGCAACATAAATGATCACGGGTGCAAACAGAGATAGTTGGCATGACACATTCAAGTATCTCCCTGCTCAAAGGAGCATGGGACGGTGCTCATCTCTACTGGTAGCCCTGAGCCAATGCTGGACATTGCACATCGCCAATGGTGTGGGGCAAGTCTCTCGCAGCGGGACGACCCCACGGTTGGGTTTAATCCCCCCCCCCGCCCCCCCATCCGAAGCATGGCCGGAGTAGCACGGAACCACCGCCCGGCCGCGTTGGGAGGCGCGCTTTTTCAAGGTCGACCTGCGTAGTTGCGGCAGCCCCCGGCGGTGCAGCCGCGCAGCCAGCGTCCCTCGTGCGCCGTCACCGTCCAGTGTCGCGAGTCGCTCTGCGTGCGCAGCGTGTCGGGCGACAGGTTGCAGATCTCCATCTTGGAAAAGTTACGCTTGAAGTCCGAGAAGGACATCCTGGCACGTGGCGGGGAAGGCGGTGGTGGGGCGGAAGAGACGGTAAAACTAGCTGGCTGGTAGATGGAGTACGAGCGGACGCGCGTACATACGCACGTGTAAATAGGGCGAGGCGGAGAGACGGACGGGGGTTATCGCGGGGGAGTCATGAATCCAGTGGCGTTTTATGGGAAGTCGGCAGAGGTCTTCCTCCGGGTGACTCGTGCCCGCCAAGGTAATATAAAATTCCTGCCACCGCCTCAGGGCCAACACCTTTTCTCATTTCGGCATGGAGAAACGTTAACTTTTATTCCACTTGAACAGTGTAAAGGCCTGCTCATGCTACTGCTGGTATAATGTGCTTGACCTACTATTCTCAACTTGGAAGGAGGTGGTCGTGCCTACACTTTACACCCACCACACTCGATCTGCCAATCCACTTCACCTTTGTTAACAGTGTAAAAGTGTAGTAATTTCCAGCCATGTGGCACGGTCAGCAGAGTGGTCAACTCACAAGTTGGAGGTTAGCGGTTCAAATACTCGTCATTTGGGGTTAACTCACCTCAACACCTCTCCGGTATCGATAAAGTGAGGACCACTTTGCGGGACGTTATAAGTTGTCATCCCGGGAATAGACTGGCCACCATCATAGGAATGTGGAATTTTCACCACTGGCTCAAATCGAGTTGAGCGCCACCTCAATACTGCTCTGGATTAGTGGAGTCATATAATCCAGGACTAAGACGCGATTGTGACTCGTACCAGAATTCTCCATCCTCCGCTCGGACCTGCTCCAGTCGACGTCTCTCCGAAACATCTACGACCCTCCACTCCCATGAGCTGGGGCAGGGGTCAGAGTGCAAAATTACAATTGGCGACCGTGATCAAGTGATTACCATTTTCAGTGATCAGTCTTATAAAATCTATTCAGAGTTTTGACCAAACACAGTTGAATATGAACAACACCAACAACCGATTTAGATATGTACGCAGTATGTGTTCACTCAGTTTATCAAGACTTAGCGAGGAGAAGCCACCTCCAGATATTTGGTCATTTCCTTATGAAGAATATGTTGAGGCGAGGGAGGAAACCTGATTGCATGGAGAAATCCCACTGAGCTATAAGTTATTTTCAGAAACGACCTGGCGACAGATGATAGCTCACCGAATCAGTTTACCACGTGGGAATTTATAGTAGCAGCCAAATGCTCGCATCACGTGATTTTAAATTTGGAAGGTAAAAAACTACAGGACCTGGATAAAAATCCGTGCGACCACGGCCAGGACACGCGGACTCCAAATATACCGGCATCTTCAGGGTCGGGATCGAACGCACGACGTCCTGTATAGCAGGCAAAGGAGAGAACATCTCGCTCCCACGGCACCTTAAACCAGTACACGACTCAATTTCCATACACACAGGTCAGCAAACCTTACTCGTTCTACTCCTACCTACTGGCCACCGTGCGTACATCCCCGGAGATGGGCATCTCACGCACACGATTTCCAAACCCTTGCTACAATGGGTTGTCCTACAGGCGTGCGCCAATACGCCTACAAACGATGACAACCTAACGAGAATTGCAGGCGATGGTTGCGATGAGATTCATAAATCCAAATGAGATGGAACACCGAACACGGATCGTCTCAGTCCATGGGAAAACGGCGATTTCAAAGCCACAATTTGGCATAACAAGAAATGATCACACTGGACTTACTTATCGCTCCAGGCCCCATTCCACTCCACCTCTCCCCACGGATTCCTGATTCGCACCAACCTTACATCTTGTCCCTCAAAAAACACCTGCAAATTAATGAGCGATAGCGTTTATTTTTAACCAACTGTGACCCATTGAGACGTGACATCCATGTGCGTAATCATTTATTTATAAACGCTGTGAAAAAAAATCCGAAAGGTTTTTTTTTAAAAAGGAAGAACTGCGGAAACACCAGAAATAATGAATGAAAAAGTAAAAATCGATAAATATTGCATTAAAAGAAAATATTTCTCACATCATGAGCAATGCACAATGTTCCTGAAACAATCTGAAAAAAATTACAGTTAAAAGCAAAAAAAACTTGGAAAAAACATAAACCAACAACATGCAATTAAATAACATTTATTTTCTTGCATACAAAACCCAGAAATACGCCAGATACAGTAGAAGTAAAAAACACAAAGGTGCATAAGCCACAAAATTATTTATTACAAAAACAACGCAATTCCAAATTGTCTTCGCCAATATAAAGCGGTGCAATAATAACTACCAATTAATGTAGGTACGAAAATCTAAGTAACAACAACAAAACAACAACCACACTTGGCCAGGCATCTCAATATTCTGTCCCCCCCCCCCCCCCCCCATTGCTTAAAACACAAATCCAAAATATAACTGTGGATGAGAGTTTATCGGTCTTCTACAAGATCACTCGAGCAATATAAAAGTCAGGGGCCTTCAAAATTAAATAAAAATGATACGATGCTACAATACGGGGATAGAGTTTGGTTTCCCTGAAGCAAAAGCCACATAGTTTAAGTCCACTGGGGCTGTCATCTGCTGTGTGGAGGAATTGAGATGGCAGCACTGGCGAAATTAAGAAATTGTTGCCAAGGTTGGTTGGAACTCCCTGTACGAGTTATTCGGATCAACGCGAGTAAAAAAGCAATGTCCCGGCCAGGTAAGATTGTGTAAACAACGCTTGTGTAGAGCTGGGACGATTGGACAATTAAGCCTATGAATCAACAAAAAGTGGTTACTCATTTGATGATGAGAGACGTCACCGGTAGTTATCCTACGGAGACTGGCCCCTACTTTACAGAAGAAAAATGATCACCATCGGATCAGGGCGACCAACGGAGATGAGCACCGCTCCAGTGCTCATTTGAGGAGGCAGGGGGCTTGATTATGCTGAGGCGACGCCAACAGAGCTCACGTGAACTTCAGAGCGCTGGAGTGGTGCTGTGCACTTACCTGGTCAAGGCCCGTGATGGAGTAGGCGTGGCCTTTCACCAGCCCATTGGGCAGTCGTGCCTCCAGGTCAAACATGCTTGTGATCTGGCAACAAGGAAAGCCAGACCGAAGACGGACGCTTGTGTTGCCTCCGAAACGTCGTGATTTTTATTTTATTTTTTATTTTATTTTACTTTTATTAATTAAAATTTACATTTTTTTACCTACGTGACTTTACCGAAAAAAACCTAAGAATATGAATCCTTGCAGTCACGAAAGCTTCAAATCTAGAAAGAAGCCAGACCACCTACGGAGGCTTACACTGCTATAGCTCATGCATATAGGGTTGCCACATGTCCTGATTTTCCCAGTACAGGTGGCAACCTCGTTTTGAGGTTGCCACCTGTTCTCCTGGGAGATTTGTAAGTCTTACCGAGACATAACAAGTCAATTGAATAACAATACACCACTCTGGACAATTCAATTACATTAATTTACACCTCAGAGGTGGCAACCCTACGTGCAAAGGAACAGGACTTGTCATGAATGTATTAAGCGATATATAAAGTATGCCATTGAAATTCTCCAACACGGCACTGTGTTTAGTTAGAGTACCACTTACTAAAAGGCACAGTTATATTGAATTAACTTTAGTAAAAAAAAAACAATTGGCAGTAAATACGGGTTTGTGCTGTGCTCTTGAGGTCAGGTGACGGCTGCGAGAGGTGAAACTTAGGGAACTCGTTCAGCAAGGGGCATCACAAACTCGGGAAGGTGACGCGACAGACGCATTTCTGGCATCACTTCAGGAAGCTTCCCCCCACCTCAACCAACATTGGACGCAATATTAACACTTATCTGGCTTTTGCTCTAAAGTAGCATCTGTTTGGAAAGTACTGTAATGGCTTGCGGATTGCAAATCAATCCTTGAATGAACCGCGTGCAACGAATGCAGATCCACTTAAACTTCCAAAGACGAATGTACTCGAGGCATCACTTAAATTCCTGAAGATGCCAACAGTCGTGCGTGTCCGAGTCTTGAGGGAAGAAAACGCTCAGCAAAGCGGCGTATACCGGAAGACCACGCTTGGAACGTATCTCCGTTACGTAGCGGTCATCTTACTCACGTTAATTGCCCTGGGAGTAGACTTGTACTTGAAACTTGATTAGAGCAATGTAAGTCACTGACCTTAAGTATCCATGAGTTAGAACCGATTCTCTTAATTGTAATAAAACAAGCCGGCGGTTGAAATTCCACATTCCCATAGCAGAGACTTGTTTATGTATTGCACAGCCACTGTTGACTTCCCACAAGGTGGTACTTAATGTATTGGCCCTGGAGAGATGAATTAGCTGCCAAACCCTACATAGCATTTTACTTTGGACCTTTCAGCTATGAGAAGAGTGCCCTAATCAGAGCACCAACTAGCTGATTGACGGGAGAATGAAAGCTATCAATTTGGTCAACAGGGAGACATCCTGAAATGAACGTGTAGAGTTGTTGCAATTATATTAACGGAGCTCTACATGGGCAGCACTGAAGGTTGGTCACTATGAGTGTTAGAAATTATGCACTTTCTGCAATTGACAGCAGAGACACCCAAGAGATTCATTAAACTCCACTTTGATTAGTAAAATGAGCCGGGCAAGGGTCTTCATATTCCATGTCAGGAGTGTCCAACAATGTTAAGTAATTGAAAGTTTTATGTGCAAATCATATTTCCTTTCTTTTTCACCTAAAAATATGCACGTATGCATGTGCATGAAATGATAATTATCTACGGCTCCTTGCCAATTCACTGCTGAATGAAGGCCTCGCTATCCTATACCTTCATGGAGAAATAAAGGCGGCCAACATTAACAGGCGCTCGCTAACAGAACCTGCATTAACAGTGATGTCAATGGCAGCTGTTGCTGTTGCGTGTGTGGTGCGTATGGGACAGTGATTCTCACATCAATCGAGCAGCCCATCATAGACGCCTTCTCTAAGCCCTTGCGCATGATGCGGTAGAGATCTGGAGGTGCCTTCTTCAGGTCGTAGAACTCGAACACGCCGCCCGTGAAGTCCTCCATGGCTTCGGCAATGCTGCCACCCTTGAGGGCCTCATATGAGCCATTGAGCCTGATGCACAGGATGTCACAAGATGCAACGTTCAGCTTGTGGCACGTACCACTTAACACGCAATGTTCAGCATGTGACACCTGGAATCAGCACATTGTTACATTTTTAATTGAAAACTAATTTATTTAGAACTATTTTTATGTTTAGTTTGTTGTCCTTCCCCTGCACCTCCGATTAGCACGGTTGGTGACGGACGGTGCGAAAGAAGTTCAACATGCATACAGCGTTCTATGCTACATGAATATACGTGTACCCAACATAGTTGTTCATGGACTGATCTATGCATTTGACAATGTACACTTGGAGCGGTCAGTGCAGTGGTTAGTGCATTGCACTATGAACCATGCGACCCGAGTTCGATATGAAATCGTTGAAATCCCAGCTTAGGGCCCACTCAACCCATCATCCTCCTGCAACCAATAATAACCACCATTGAGTGGAAAGACAATTGCAATCGTTCTGTACATAGACAGGACTCCATCATAGTAATGTGGAATGTTTTACCACTGCCTTAGGACCACCAGTGGAGGTGGCCGCTGCTCAATGCCCATTTGAGCCTGGAGGGGGGACACCGACTTTGTATTTCACACAAAGATTACATTCAAGGAAAAACAATTGTTGCCCTTTGCTTATAAACTAGAGCTTTCTCCTCCAAGCCTTAGCTACAGGGTCCCTTATGACCGAATGTTTAAAATAAGGAAGTTAAAAGTTAATGTATTAGGTATAGCCCTGTGAGACATTCGGCTCGAATCGGGTGCAACCGCAACAAACAAAAAACAAAAATATGAACAAGAAAACATCTTAAAGTGACTATGTGCAAACAGAAAATCCAAGAAAAGACAGCAAAATATTGCAGAAAAAAATCACTGTACACCAACCCTGTGCAAATATCCCAGTGGGATGCAAGTCAAAAAACAACAACCACAAGACAACTTAGATTAAGGCCATCAGTGACAGCCACCGTACCTTCACTGGCCTATCACGTTCTGGTTTCGTCGTCCATTCACTGGCGAATTATGCCACACACATCTGCCATGTGCATGGCATAATGGCTTATGTCTGTGCGTAGGAACACGTTGGTATGGCTACATGAATTCACAATTACCATAATTTTTACGTGCATCCAATTAGCACCTCTTTTGTTCGCTCGTGAAATAATCGGGTCATTATAAATGGAATGGTGCGTGTGCCAGTGTGCACTATGGCAGGAGAAAAGACAAAATGAGTGCCCATTTTCAACTGGTGGTCCATGAGCCAGATTCAGCTCATGCCAGCTTTTGGAGTGGCCCGTTGCACAATGTCCTGCCAGGAAATTGACTAAGAGACAGGCTGGATCTGATTAGTGAACGAATTGACCGGAGACGTGCCGCATTTCAAACACGAAGCTGATATTGGGTGCAACCAAATTAATTTGTAAAGTCGCAAATTGAGAGGGCGGGAGTAGTGAAACCTGTCCAACTATCTAATGCTAACGTTTTTAAGCTGCCCCAAAAAAAATGCAGAGTTGTAGAATCCTTCTGTTGGGTATGAATTAATATAATGATCCATTTAATGAATTAATATATGAGAGTAAAAGTGTCATGAATACCACAAGGCATCACAGGAAATTCCACAGTACGTTGCACGTCCGAGGGAGTGATTGTAAATTATATGTGCAGCAGTCTTATACATCGTCAAGTTAAAGTTTTTTTTTCCCATGAGCATGGGGTGGTGATTATTTTCATTCATGGCCCTAAGCATAATAAGTAAATTCCACATTTCTATGACGGGGACAGTGTTTCAGTCATTGCTGGTTTGCCACAAAGGGTTCTCATTATTTTAACCCAAAGGCATAACGAGTTGAACCAACATTTTAATGACATATCCGTTTTTTAGTTCAATGCTATGCAACAACGACACTCATTGGTATAATTATTATTAATCATCAATACAGTACTGACCTTTAACCCTCCTGACAAGATTATGAATTTTGTAAACAACATTAGTTGTTAGGTTAATGGCATGCCCTAATGGCTCATTAAACACACTAAAAGTTGTCCATATCATATTGCACTGTATGGATGTTTTCCATGGTGATGGGGATTCTTATGGACTCGAGGAGATATTAGATTATTAAAATATAACAATATTTTAGTTATCCAATTAACTGAATCTTAAGGGGGGTTTTTCAGATGGTGATATATATACATAGAGATGTTTGGCCATTATCTTTATTTATTTGAGGTTTTTGTGTGGGAGGAAAAAAAACTATTTTGTCCAAAAAAAATCTCACTTATAAAACACCGCTCAAATGCTATAACGCAATCGATTGAAAACCGACTTGCTGCGCCGCTTTCTATAGGCATCACTTTTTTTCCCGTACATGCGGGTTGCGCCTCAGCGTAAACCACCAAGGAAACGATATTGAAACCCTCAGACCCACTTTCTTCATAGCCTCCGATGGACACCAAACTCGCCCTGCGTGTCGATTCCCTCACACACACAATGAGACCTCCACGGTCCACCAACCCCAACTTCAAAGAGCTAGATGATTAGATAAGCAACGTTATGGCAGGTGTAGTGCAGGTTGGTTCGGTAGCCTGAGCACACTCGTTGGTTGGTAGATCTGGCAAAGTAGGGCACTCTCAAGCATGACGTTGAAAGTCACTGTTTAGCAGTTTTGATAGTATCCCGAGAACAGATCCAGAAGTAGGCATTTGCATATTTAGCAGCATCTAGCCTCGCACTTTACCGTGTACACCTAGCCTGGCACATGTAAAAAACTAAAATTATGAACGAAACTATTTTTCTTTTTTCTTCTTCTTGGTTCTTTCGGTAAAATCACGTAGAAGGGAAATAATAAAATAATAAAAATAAAACATGATAAAACAATTCTCACGACGTTTCGGCCACAACGCAAGCAGCCGTCCTCAGGTGAAGAACAGGTCTGTCAGACGCTGTCTTTCCGACAGACCTGTTCTTCACCTGAGGACGGCTGCTTGCGTTGTAGCCGAAACGTCGTGAGAATTATTTTATTATGTTTTATTTTTATTATTTTATTATTTCCCTTCTACATGACTTTACTGAAAGAACCAAGAAGATGAATCCTTGCAGTCACGAAAGATTTAAATCGATATTTTTCTTTTACCAGGTAAGGCACGCAGAGCGATGTAGCTATTTCTTTCAGAAGCGACCTGACCACAAATGACAGCTCAACCAAGTGGCTTTTTCTGCGTGGAAATTTACAGCAGCCAAATACTCTAAACGCGTGATGTTGACTCTAAATGTGGAAGGAAAAACTGGAGGACCCGGGAAAAAAATCCACGCAACTATAGGGAAAGAGACACGCAAATAAAAAAAATATACAGGCGTCATCAGGGTCGTGATCGAACCTGCGACCTCCTTCCATACTAAGCGAGGTGGTTAACATCTCGCCACTGTGGCGCCCCTATTGGCCACGGTGATTGGCACTGCCACTTGGCATTTCAGTGCAAGTAAAATATGAATGGCCGTGATGACAGAGGTTTTATTATTCCTGACATAAATCTTTCATGTTATGAGATCCTGGAAAATATACGCATAGATTATGAGTGGAATTACATGTTTTGTCGAAATCTATAGTTTAGCATGCTTCAAAAATGTTCCGATTAACATTGGTGTACATTGTACGTTTGCATAATGCAATGAGGGGGAAAATGGTTGAACCAAAAGCTCCAAACTCCAGTATCCTACAATGCAACAAGTCACATCAAAGTGCTTCGCAGCACAAACAGTAAATATAAACGCACCTGTTGAAACAAAAGGGGGACATTTTAGGAAGAAAAAAAGTTCAAAAGATGAGTAACAAATGTAAAACATTGGACGATAACCCACGCACACCAACAAAGCGGGGCAAGGCCGCACCCGCATTCAAAGAAGAACGCTCCGTTCTACAAGGGTGCTCGCCCAACTGAGTAAAATCACACCGGCCATCTTGGTCCCAACAAACCCCACCACCCCCATTGGCCATTGGACCAACTTTACCGCAGGCTGACCTCCCTCACCGGCACGACACGCCTGGCCACGACGGAACGGCCCTTCTGATCCCAAAGATGTAATGTGCCGCAAGAAGAAAAGGTGTTTAATCGGTGTGCGCCGCCCGCCACGGACGCATGGTTCAGAAACGTGGTCACGAACGCCACCTCCAATTAGCACGGTCTGCTACGCACGGCGCGAAAGAAGTTCGACGCACACACGAGTTCAACGTGAATACATACGTGAACATTTTTTTTTTACAAAAGATGAAAGGTGTGAAAGGAAGTGCGGAGGGTGGTACGCTTGGAAATGACATTTCGAGACAGAGAGTGGAACACACGGATTAAAATCACACGCTGGTTAAAGAGATCGCCTAAACTGTTGAAAAGAGCAAGTGAGCTTGGTAAGGCCACGGCACGATAAGGTACGATCACCGATGGTCAAGAAAAGCGATGAAATGGCAACCCAGGAATTCAACGCGTCTGAAAGTACGTCCCTTGAGGAAATGGAAAGTGATCAAATCAGCCCGTGCGCAGGTTGCTATCGGTGCATTGATACATCGCAGAGCTGTGAGAGACGGCGACGACCTGGGGAGGCCTCCTTGCAGCAGCAGCAGCAACAGCAGCAGCAGCGAATAGACAACTCTTTGTAATTTGACAAACACGTGCTGGATAGGTGCAAGGTGCACGGGGTTCGTGTAACACACACGGGGCAATGGCAAAGTGTGTGTCGGGAATGTTCGTGGCATGCCGAGCGAGTGGTACACGTGCACTGCACACGCAAGGCGAGGGTCGTGCTTGCAGGGGTTGTACTTTGCATATGCCTTCTCGAGCAGCGCACTCCAGAACTCGTTGCGGTCTGTGGAGTGCAGGAAAGCCAGCTTGTTGTTCTGCGTGGGTAGCAGGTCGTCAATAACCACGTCCACCCACTCACCAAACTGCCAGAACTGAGAAAAAAAGGCGAACGGCGGAGGGAGTGGGAGGGGAATGGGAGGGAGAAGGGAAAGCAGAGGGCTCAGCAGTCAACGCACGGATAAACACCAAGAGCTCCTCAAGGGTGAGCGGAGTGTGGAGATACACCCAGGCAAGTTTAACTCCATCCATTCTCGATCTGTTTGTTTACCCCAGCCAGAGGGCATTTGCAGGAGGGAACGGGCAAAATAAGGTTGCCCAGTGTGGAATGTGCGCGTGTATGTTCATGCAGGACCGTTCCGGCCTTCATAGGTGCTCGCTAACAGCACTTTTCCTCAACAGTCTGTTAAGGCTATACGGGGGGGATCTTTGTCTTTGCAGGATGGAGCCGGGGCCAGTTGTCGAGATGGGCACCGGAATGGGTCTCCACGAGTTCCGGCGACCAAGTCTCCCACCACCTGGCCGTAGGCCTTAGGCCTTATGCCAGGTGGTGGGAGACTTGCTCGGGCCGACGTTGGAGGTCGCGCGTCTACTGCGCAACAGCTGCGGGATTCCGGCACAGGGCGGAGAGCGTTGGCCGAGGTGTGATGGCATCAACTGGCTTGGGACATGATCACATCTTGATCTTTAAACAGCTTCTCGCGCTGTGCGAGCTGATTGCTGCAGTGAGGAAAGTTATTGGGAAGAGACTTAACACGGAATGGGCTCCATGCGACAGCTATTGTACACGGGCTGCATTTAAAGAGTGCGCTTGCAAATGACTGCGGTTAAGGTAAATTCAACGCCTCGCTGCTCAAATAAGCGTGGGGAAGTGCCCATCTCTGTTGCTGGCTCTGAGTGAGTGGTAAAAATTACGCATTCCTGTGATGGGGATCAATCTCTCAACCCTCACAACCTTTATAATTCCCTCAAAGTGGTACCCAATTATCAAGCCCTTCAGGGATGATGGGCTGTTCCGAGCCGCAGACTGGAATTTTCAATCCGCAACTTTCTAATTGATAGTCTGAGTGCTCTACCACATCGACACCAGGTCTGATATTCATACACACGCTGTAGATTTATACATTTTACAAGCCATTCAACTATTGTACTGAGCAAGGGTACGCTTTAAATTAACTCTGTTACTCTCAGACACCACCAAAGGCAAATTCATCATCTCTGATTACTCGATTGTTTTAATTTGTTTATGAAGGTAAAGAAACATTCAGCCTCAAGCTGATTTACAAAGACTGATCCGTAGACGGCCTTGTTGCAACAAAGGATGTTACAGCAGGGAATACATTTAACATTGCAGACTCTGAGTAGTGAGAAAAACAGCATTCGGGTCATGCACCATTCAATTGACATCTTAACATCCATTGTCACATTATTTTCCCCAATACTATATTCAACGCAGCAGCACACAGAGAACAATGGAAAAACATAACGGAGACGTCGCCAGAGACTGTGAGAAAAGTGCGCGGGTGCTAATCTTCTTTCCTTTTAAAATTTACAAGATTGTAGCCACAATTGACCGTGGCTTAAATTTTAATTCAAGGCATCCTATAAAGAGCCATGAAGACAAGCCTCTGGCTTGGACGATAACGCGACGCTCACCATTGATTTCATTGTCGTCTGTGTAAGCGATGGGGAACATGTTTTATCGTGCAATTTTGCCTTTAAGAGAGGCTCATTCGAAAGTCTCTTTTTCTGTCGTTTTTTTTATTAACATAGGTTAAGTATTTTGTTTGCTCTTTCAGCGCTTGCTCTATAGGAAATCCTGGGCCCAGCCATTGCAACGTGGAGTTTTCACAACCGGTTCAGGTCCACGAACGAAAGCGAGCAACGTGGCCACGCCTTCGTCCAAGTAGCGTGACACTTTGACTTGAGCACAGGTTTTTTTTATCTTCCGAAGAGCACATTTTCGTCGTAACTACGTGGAAGCGACGAGTGAGCCGTGTTTAAAGTGGACGTTGGCGTCACCTGGAAGTGGAAGATGCCGGCGTAGCCGTCGCTGAAGCTCTGTCCTTCTGGCACCACGCGAGCCAACAGCCTGGGGTGCAGGGTCAGGGATGCAATGGCTGCCAGCAGCCAGCAGTCGCCTGCAACAAATGCAAACGTTTCCTATTTGGTCTTGAGACAATTAAAAGCCGCCAGCGAGAACCTAATGAAGCCGGCACAGCACACGAGGGGGCGGTGTGGTTAGAACCGTGCCCGGCCGCATTTGTCTCCCCGGTGCCAATGTCTAGACAGCACACCAAGTTAACTCATTTAAGGTGCACTCAATGCAGTGGAGGCCTCATAGGGTGTGTACAGATACCAATTGTCACTGATGCTATCCATGGGTGAGAATTGAACCCAAGTCGCTTGGAGAGCAATGCAGCGAGCGAACTGCTGCACCACTACTCCCCTTCATGCACAATTTCATACAACAGCAGCTCTTATTTGCTGCTAAGACGTAGCGATGTCGCCGCGGTGCTTATGCTAGACTTAGGTACACTCTGAGATGATGTGGAGTGGCAAAGGCTTACTGGCAGGTCACGGGAAAGACCCAGGTGTTATATGGCTTAACAGATATCCGAACAGACACCCCATGCTTACGAGCACATACACAATGGATACACTTGGGAGGTTGGGTTTTAGGAGAGGTAATAACGTATTTATAATATTCTGTTTATCCAGGAAAGCCTCAACGAGCCTCTCCATGTTCTTGGTTCTTTCGGTAAAGTCACGTAGAAGGGAAGTAATAAAATAATAAAAATAAAACATAATAAAATAATTCTCACGACGTTTCGGCCACAACGCAAGCAGCCGGGGGTGGGTTTAATTATGGGAGGCTGCTTGCGTTGTGGCCGAAACGTCGTGAGAATTATTTTATTATGTTTTATTTTTATTATTTTATTACTTCCCTTCTACGTAACTTTACCGAAAGAACCAAGAAGATGAATCCCTGCAGTCACGAAAGCTTTAAATCGAAATTTGAGCCTCTCCGTGCTTTTACAGGCAACCTCTGCTTGCGACGTTCATTTCGAAAGCAAAGCTCGCCGCACGGCATCGCGTTGATTTCGCCACGGACACGCATGCGTTGGTGAATGTGAGCGGTCGTATTCTCCCTCGAAGGTTACGGTTTGAGAGCTGTGCTATCGTTCAACTTACCCAGAGCCCCCTGCTTGATGTCGGTTCTTGTGGCTCCATTCACAATGAACTGTGGGTTGTAGCATATTTCCTGAGGTGCACGTGGGGGTAACAGTGCGAGTAAACAGGACGATTAGACCTTGGTGCTCCGCATCACCCCTTTCACTCTGTTGCCTGCAGTAAATTGCATTTGGGGAAAATTACTAAATCCAAAGAGGCAAAATGTCTCTAAGCTCTAATAGTTTAGAGGTTAGGAGGTGGGTTTAATTATGGGAGCATGTGGCAAGTAGCCAACAGGGCCCAGGAAATATTTTTTCAAGGGGCACTGGCTATGGCTTGCCCCGCTGTCCAATACTGGGTGGTGCAGCACCTGCTCCAATATCCTCGACGTTGCCATGAATAGAAAAAAAATATATCAAACACTGCATTGCAAAAAGCACATCTTTCAGAGACAACATCCCTGAGAGACATGAGGAGGAGCACACAGATAAGAGAACATGTGCAAGTTAGAGACGTCAATATATGCTTTTTAAGAAAAGTGGACTTTGAGCGGAGAAAGATTAACGACAGAGTGGCAGCCAGGGAAGGGAACGCGCCTCAGTAGAGGTCCACCGTGCAGACGGAGCGATGAAGTCAACGCGTGTGAAAGCAACTCGATAGATTGTTGCAATTGCAGGACAGCGAAAGATGACGATGCCTTGGAAATATATTTATCCAGCAGTAGATAGATGGTCTGCTGAATGAAGGTCTTTCATGATGATGATGACGATGCAAAGAGTGAAATTATATACGGTAACAAACAATTTAAGGGCGTTCCCGTACTCAAACGAGCATTGGGTTAAACTCATCTCCACTGCCAGTCCTGACGCAGTGATGGAAATCGCATGCTCCTATCCCCGCACCTCCGATAATGAATCACGGTTGGTTCCGTACGGTGTGGAAGAGGCTCAACAACAGACAACAAAAGGCAACGACTTTTGCCTTTACACTCGGTGGTACTCTTGTTTTTGTTTTAAACCACTGTAGAAGGATGATGGACGGATTTGACTGACCACCGGCCAGCATTTATAATCACGACCTTTCGATTGTGTCGGATGCTCTAACCGCAGCGTTATCCCACGAGGTGTGTGAGAGAGAGAGAGAGAGAAAAACGCAGAGAAAAATAAAGAAATATAAGCAGCGACGGTCACCACGGATGGCGAGACTTGCTGAAGAAAAAACAAGTGCACGGCAGGAGCCGTGTCACGATGTCACGTTTCATCTTCTTGGTTCTTTCGGGAAAGTCACGTAGAATGTAAACAATAAAAATAATAAAATAAAACATAATAAAATAATTCTCACGACGTTTCGGCCACAACGCAGGCAGCCGTCATCAGGTGAAGACCGGGGAGACAGCGTCTGAATGAATGTTTCCATTCTACGTGACTTTACCGAAAGAACCAAGAAGATGAATCCCTGCAGTCACGAAAGCTTTAAATCGAAAGATGTCACGTTTGTGTCGATCCACTGCTGGATGGGGACCTCCCCCCCACGCTGGGCTATTTGGTCAAAGGCCGCTACGTTTCAATTGTTAAATTTATTATGAATACCTTTGGGCCCTTTTTGGAGGAAGAGTTAAAAATCAATAAGCTTTGCCAATATGCCATGTGCAACGCTGGTGGACTCCCCCAATCCGCCCCAGAATGTCACTCAGTATGAGGCCACTGCGCGGGCAGTTGCTCTGGGCACTCACACTGGCACTGCATTAAACCCAGCTGATGAAGCCGAATTAGCAGACGGCAGCAAACGCACTTGCATGCTGCACGCCTCATTGACGCGGCGCCACTTAAAATGCATCAACATCGCCCGCCCGTGATCGGCGTACGCCTTGTTTACATCACATTTCTCGGCACATCAATCGAAAGATAGGGGACACAAGATAACGATGCACGCCTTTGTCCCTCTCTCGTCTAACTATTCCCTGAATGTTGTTGTCGTTGTTCTTATTGTTCAAGGACAATACCAAGTGGGTGTGAGACAGTGCTCAGAGCCATGTGTACGTGTGTGTGTGTGATTGAACATGGGTATATGTCAGGCTGCATACCCAAGTCCGTGTATGTGACAAGGAGCGGCAGCCGAACTGGTCAGCACACTGCGGTAAGTACAGTCGAGGCAAACCTGGACTCAATCTTCATGCACTATGCATAACATTATTGGCACGTTACATCTGGCCATGCGCTGGGCCTCCCTTAGGTTGACTTGGCCTTAAATATACATGTAATGATGCGTACATTAATTGATTACAATCGCTCCTTGCATAATGTACTCATCTATCAAGGAAAGCCACACTACGTCACAGAGCTCTCTTTCAGGTGGATCCTGCTGCATTGCGTTTTTATTTTAAGATGTGTTCAGCCAAATACTCATGAGTCTTTATGATACACGTGGAAGGAAACCGGAGCAGAAGGAGACAACCCACGCGCACGAGGGGGCAACACTCTATCCCTGTACAGATGAAAACAGATGGCGATTAGTCCATTCGCTGTACTGCCTTCTCCTGGCGAGTCGGGGTATGCACCTCGACACCCATGGGAAGGGAGTTTCACAACATTTTGTGCGATCCACCAACTATTGCTTTACACGGCGCTGGATTACAAGCCATCTGCATCGCCATCACCGCCCTTGCATGTACTGTTCCAAACGTCACATTGTGCGTATGATTATCAATTATTTCTCATTTAGATCACATGGCAATAGACTGAATATGACTTGACAATAAAGCCAGGTTAAACAATGAAATAACAATACAAACGGGACGAAATAACAACCTTTTTGTCGGATTCGGTATTGTTCGAGATGTGAATCGATGCATGCCCAGAGCCTGGTTTTCAGCATGTGCTGATACTCTCCAATAGCCCGTGTTTACGCGTGTGTGTGTTTGAGTTGCTGTCACAACACTGTGTGTAGAACTGGGCTCTCTGGGGCCAAATGAGTATTAAATTACTCCACCAATTATCAGTTCAGTTATTCGACTAATTAAAAAATTACAATAATAGTTGGGGGAAGAAAAAAGGTCTCACCTCTGTTCCGACATGTGCCGCTGGACGGGAAGTGATGGGCGAGGCTTGGGGATTTTTTTACTTTCAGGAGGTAGGAAGTTTAGTGGTGCGGGGGGGGGGGTGTGCTAATTAATAAGGGCCTAAGTAAACAACCACAAAAATGTAGTTGATTAATTGACTTATCGGACTAATCGTCCCAGCTATAATTGTGTGTGTGTGTGTGTATCGCCATGCTGTATATATTTGTTTTATCAGTGGGGAACGGTAGTGTAGCGGTTAGCGCGCTGCGTTACAAATCCGATGGCCCGAGTTCGATTCCCGCTCATGCCCAACACCAATGACGATTATCTGAACCGGTCCTGGGCCTCCCGTAAGTCGACTCGGCCTCAAATGAGTACCCAGTGTGGTGTTAACATCGCCACTGGGGAGACAAAGGTGGTGGGGCGTGGTGTTGGCTCCCCGGCCCTTCGTGTGCCATGTCGGCCTTCATAGGTGCTCACTTACAGCACTTGCCCCAACAGTCTGTTAAGGCTATACGGGGATCTTTGTCTTGGAGTTGTTTTTATCGCCGTGCTGTTGCAGTACTATATTCCAAAAGCACACGAGCTTTTTTGGCATTGTATAAGAGAGCCAGTCCATATTGACATCAACTTGAAGTTATTTACCTCATTGCAGAGGCTGGGAAGACGAGAAAATGAAAATCCATTCAAAATAATTTCAATACCCGGGTCCAATTTTTTTTTTACTTTGGGATCCAATATTGAACCGTGGATATCAAATACACATCAGAGCATTTCCAAGACGTTACGTGAAAATGTTGCGCATTTGACCAAACCATAGCTCAAGCGTGTGTACATTTCCAATATTGTGCATATTTACAATTACACTAAATACGAATCTATTGTCAGCGAAAAAAAATACCATCGTGAGAGACATTCTTAATTAATCAACACAATGCCCAGAAATTCTAAAATGTTATTTTAAAAAAACCCTGCAGATAACTGTAAATGTAGGAAAGCACGCATGTGCATTCTGCATTTCAGAGTAATGAAAATAATTACAAGCCGCCTCAGTGCATAATTGGTAATAATAAATAAATAATCCAGTAATGGGATTTGTTTAAGTACTGAAATGAAATTTAATCTGTCAACCTTCAAAATCGATGTTTCTCAGTCGCCTTTGTGAATACAGCGAAAGGCAAACCTTGGGTTTGTTTTGACTTCGGTGATTCTCGTCTGCTCTTGCCTATCGCATCAGGTCACCCAGTAGATATTCTTAGGTTTTTTCGGTAAAGTCACGTAGGTAAAAAAATGAAAATTAATACAAGTAAATAAAAGTAAAATAAAAAAATAAAAGTAAAATAAAAATAAAATAAAAATCACGACGGTTCCACCTGAAGACGGAAGCTTGTGTTGCCTCCGAAACGTCGTGATTTTTATTTTATTTTTATTGACCTTATATTAATTTTATTTTTTTTACTTACGTGACTTTACCGAAAAAACCTAAGAACTAGAATCGCCCAGTAGAATTGGTATGAAGAGGCTGACGGTACTGCTGATGAGACCCTCAAAGAAGCTGCAACCAGTTCAGCTGATAAATGCCTATTAAGAATTCAGGATTTGTCGAAGAGTCAAGTCAAAGCATATCTTTCACATGTCAATGAATAGCCTATCCGAAAGACAACCATTTTTGTCTGTTGCACTTACTCATTGTATGATTTTGATGATATCAATTGAAGAGAGAATATAGGACATGAGTGAGATACCATATACTACACAAACATGTTATTGCTACTAGATTAATTACCACGTAAAAACTAAGCAAAACATTGCAACACAGTAAAATATTCCAGCAGTGATGTATGAATATAAGCTACAGTTGGAAGATTGAAAGCATAATTGAACTGTATGAGCTCGGCTAGACTCTTAATAGGCGATTCCCAGCCTCATGTATTAAACATGTTTTCGAATGAAAACATTAGACCAGACTCTCATTAATTAACTGAACCCCCCAAATCGCTGCAGGTAATTTATTTGAGGGTGCCCGAACTTCT